ACGTTCACATTGTGGTCGATGCTTTTGATAAATTCCCTAAATTTTGTTTATTACATTCAAATAATAGTATTAAGTAGGTCTAGGCCTCAGACTTCTGTATATTTTTAGTGATCATTTGTCAGTCTAAGAGCCAAGTGGGTGAAACACGCCGTCGACTTTTGCCTCACGATGTTTTCCTTAACCGTTCGCACATAGAAAGAAAGTCCATTGGAGTACAGCCGGAATCGAACCTACGACCTTAGGGATGAGAGTCGCACGCTGATGCCACTAGGCCAACACTCCCCTGCAATAGTATATAGTAATAGATACCTGCTGGAAAAGATTGCGTGGGACCTTATACAATACAGACCGGTGAGTATCTAAAACTCAAATAACGTTGACATTTGACAGTAGCAGATGTTGTATGTCAGTTGCCATTGATGTTTTCGTTAGGGGGAAATAATTTGTTAATAGTATGAGGGCTACATTTCAGTGGATTTCCGAGGTTTTATTTTAAATTTCTTGTTTGTATTATGCTTAACAAAAATAATTTTGACAGGATCAAATTCAATCACAATAACGAAACTTTCGATAACAAAAACGTGTGAACGAAGTTAACGTCTCCACTTTATAATTAGAATTACCTTTGAAGTTAAAACAAATAAGTGGTAACTAATTGCGAATATATCGAAGTGCCGAGAGACTAGCGACACTTTGGTAGTTGTCAACGCTGACTTGATTAAGTCACGTGATCATGATAGCAGCCCTGCGATTCTGTAACTCACTTTTCTCTGAAATAGTCGTGAAGCAGGGGGGGCGGCAAAAAACAGCCGAAGCTATATTCTGCTGCATCTGAAAAGGTGGGAGCTTGTAGTTTATTGTTTACCAGAATGCCAAATCATAAAAAGACTGCTTCACGACTGATTTTAGTGCGACCGCCGATCCGAAAACCGCTGTGTGAGTTCGAAAAGTGAGTTACAGAATCGCAGGGCTGGTGTATTTAGAGGATACACGAAAGTTAAATTTAGGTTTAGGAAATTAACATAATTCTTAATTATCTTAAATGCAAACGATAAATCACTTACTTTTCTACGGTTCTCCAATGACAACATATGGTTTTTTTTTTCGAGATTCCACTGGAGAAAGTGGATAAGATGACAGTAAGTAAAACTGTATTGCAGTTTAATAGATGAGAAGCGCGTTTTATTGTTATTCTAAGACTTACTTATGGTGTTAAAAAAATCTGTCTGTGTTACTCTACATAGATAAAAAATCAATTCAATTAACATTTCTGCATGGGTTTCATATCATCAAATCCCTACAAAACAAACAATAAAAGTAAAATCTCACATTTTACATAACAAGAAAATATAACCAGGAAAACGTTCGACCGTGAAAAGAGCACAATTTTCCCGCATTCACCACTAAAGAACACTACCTCTGTTACGCTTGGATTTCACTGAATTTCAACTAAGAGGAAAATTCCAGGAAAATTTGTAGATGCAATATGTCACTTAAGAATAAGAAAATGTCCGCCATTATTGAAGGATTCTTTTGTGTTGGAAATAATACTTCAGAATAGCGGGTCATATTTTATTCTACGAAAGAATTATTGTGTTTTAAGAATTTTCTTGTAGACGGATTTGTTAACTAATAATTTCTGTTTGAGACAAGGTCTAGGATTATCGTAATATGTATTTGGAGATTTATTAATTTGAGTAACAACCATGATTTTATCTCCTTCGTTTGTTTTTGATAGAATTCCTTGATTTTTTAAATCATTATTAATATTGATCCAGCATTTGAAAGAAACTTTAAGAGATATAATCTCTCTTAAAGATAGATAGATAGTATATATATATATATATATATAACTCAAAGCACTATTTTAAATATCAAATTTTGTACTTATTTAAAAACCTAGAAGAAGGGCTTCTAAATACTAATTCCATTAAGTAGAGAAAATGAATTTTGTTTAATATTTTCGCCTCGAACAATCTCTAAACTTAGATTGACTTCTTTATAAAGTTTGTAAACTTTCAAATTAATGTTGGACGATAGACTTAGTCGGTCTTAGACAGAAGTGTGAAAACAACTATAAAGTTTAATATTATAAATTTCAATTTGTCATAGATTATGTCTCATTCATAAATACCACATTCATTAAAGTGAACGAGACCTCAACTAAGCGGATAAATAATGTTTTTTGGAAATCTAAAAAAACGCTTCTATTATTTATTATATTAAATCCTAATCTCAGTGTTCATATTTGAATAAAGACAGCTTTAAATATCACATGAAAGATATAGCTTTTGACTTCATAGTCATCTTAGATTAAATATTTAAGTTTCCTTTAAGCAGCAAAATCTATATTAAGGTTAATTAAGAGTTAAGTTCAGCGGTGGCATTTTCAAATAAATGAAACAACTTTGTTAGAAGCGAACTGTTAAAGTATTTTAATGGTTAAAAACAAGTACTTAAGTACTTACATAAAAATGAAAAACTGTAGAAGTTCTTTCCGTTCATAAAATAGATATAAAGCACAAAAGCTAAAATATTAATACTGTTGAGATATGTATTATGAAATTCCATCATATGACTCTTCTTTCTTGGCGAATCCTATAAGGTTTCTGCAGTGAGGTTATGGAATTCACTTCCTGTCCCGCTTAGCTCCTTCCCTATCTTCCAGATTTAGGGAAGGGAAATCGGGACTGCAGGCCCGAGGCTTCTACAATAGAGACTTCGAAAAAAAATGTTTTAAATTCCGTTTAGTAAACACTAATAAACAACTTTTCTTTTGATATATTTTATATGTTTGCTAAATACTAAAATAATCTACATGGTTTCACAGTAAATTTTTGATTGAAAATCTCGACTGATTTTTTTTTAATTTATTTGGAAAATAATTTGGGGCCAGCGGGCCTGCACTCATTTGTTGCCCCGAGGCCTCCAGACCTCTAAATCCGGCCCTGTATATCCACATAGTATCCCTAACTTTATACATGTAACATGTATCCTTATTAATATCTGCATATGTTTTAATCGCTATGTTTTGTTCCATTCTTTATAAAATTGTATATCTGTTGTAGTTTTGCACAACGGGATAAGGCCGCCAGTTTCCCTGCTTTTAATTTAATTATTTTAATTGTACATATTATTTACACTTCGTTGCATGAAATGCAAATGTAAATAAATAAATATTACTAGAAAAAAATCTTATCGCATTATTTGTTGGGTGTTATTTAATCGTTGACAATTGAGCTGTAGTATATCCATAAAGTTTGCATAACATAAATCTATGTAAGTGCTTTTACTCGTATTCCAATAAGGAATGTGGGAAATTCAAGAACATATGAATGATAATTCTTATCCCTGTATGGTGGATATTAAAATGTCCCCTTTCTCATTTGAATTTCTATTGTTTAACGGTATCTCCACCTGCGGGCTTTGTCTTTACTGCCACTAAGATCGTAAAATGTATGAATTCACAAATTCAGGCCTAGCTTTATAGTCACTAATATAAATTATTACTGTTATAAACAGATTCATTTTTATATTACCCAAAGACATTTTATGATTATATAACTTTATTTAAGTTTGTATATTATCTGTAAGCGTGAGGCGAGGTACGCCTTCATAAAATAATTACAATGAATTGGTTTTTACAATAACAAAAGTATTTTAAGAAAATTAAACCAAAGTTAAATACATGTCAATATTACGTACGAGAAGGAAAATATCCCTAGAGAACTGGCATACCTTAGACCCGACTAATGACGGCGTGTGTGGCACTAATCACCTACTTGCTTTTTAAGAGAAATATATGTTCATGAAACAGATACAAAAATCTGAGGTCCAGACCTTGTTGTGTGGTTGTACCCAGAAGTCCAAAATGTATTTTAATTTGCAAAGAATTAGTGTATGTAATGAAATTAAGTACAATGTCTGGTTCGGAAAACAGATTCAAAAGTGTATATGCCCCATGCTCCATAGGTTCATGACTCTCTCAATTCAAATCAAATCAAAATCATTTATTCATTTAGTTAACACAATGTACTTTTATGAACGCCAAAAAGAAATACATATTAAATGCTTCTAATTTTACATTTACTACCAATTTCCAAATCAAGAGCGTAGAACGGAAAAGAACTGGCAATAAACTCTCCACCACTCTTTTTAATCGCCAAGTTTTTTGTTTCACACAATGTTTGAAAGGAGCTGCAACCTGCACCATGTTCCACATGACATCTTAAGTAATTAATAGTTAAGATGCTTAATTCACATTAACACAGAATACCTATTGAAATGTTCTTCTTATATAAACTAGGGACAATTCAACATTTAAAAAGAACAAGTCCAAAGCCTTATTATCTATCTCTGTATGTTTTTGCGAAGAAGTGAAACATAAGAGTGACAATAGGGAACAATTCAAACAGGCACAGGTGCCAATCCGTTGCCTTGTTAGCGTAACTATACTCGGGGGTGCATTATTTGCTTAAAGGTCCACCAGCTTTCAACATAAATTGTATCAGACAAAATTATATTTAAAAAACTCATATACTTTTAGGGAAAACATTTTATTTCTATCTTGCATGTACTAGCGAGCTAAAGAGGCATAAATTGTGTCTATAAAAGGCACCAAGTCTGAAGTTGTTAGTGTAATTATTTTAGAATAATCAATCCTTATTTCATTAACACACACAGTCCAGTAAAACACTAGGATGGGACTAAGTTTTATCTTTGTTTCATTGATATTTTTTTTAAATGTTTAGTATCTACCATAACGTAATAAGTAACATTTCATAGAAATAGCAACACTATGTACATTAAACACTAAGCCACGGAGTCAGTTGTTCATGTGAATGTTCTCCTCGCCTAATTTTGAGCATCTAGTTTTATTTTTTTGCTTTTATTTGTAAAACGATGTCATGACACATGACATCGCATTAATATTTTAATTAAAGAACAAAACAACAAATCGTTTATATTTAGCATATTAAAAGAAACATTTAAGAATATTTTTAATTTTTCAATCCATATTCCTTGCAAAGCTTAGAAACGTGGTGCGCTGCAATTGCGGTGCGACGCGGCATGGTCGCAACATCATCACTTGTTGCCAGTCGCACGCTGTACGCTTGTAGACGATTTGTGCCAGCTAACATTCGACCAATTACACTGAAAAGCGTATTTCCTTTAGCATCAGATTCCATATACACAAATTAATTAAAGATTTATGTTGCCGCCTGGTAGATAGTACTGGTGACCCCAGAGCAGGTGCTTTCCTTGCTTAACGAATAAGTATCACAATACAGCGAGGAAATGCTGCCAGCGACAGTGTTCCTTTAAGGAACACTGTCATGGGGACAAAACTTTTTAAATTTGTTTTAATTTTCTATTTTCTATTTGTATTAATTTTTATTATTATTACTATGTAGGTTAAGAAATAACTGTATATTTGTGTATTTGAAATATAATAAGAGATATCAATATTAAGTTGATTTTATAATATTTATTTATTAAAAAAAAAACTGTTATATAAATCGACCGGTCTGCGGGAACTTCTTACATTTTAACACGCTTTCACCTTGCGGCGTATAATGGAATGGAAAACAATTAAAATGTTTTCATGCACATTTAAATTTGTTACTTTAAAGTCAACTTGGAGTTCCAGTAAGGTAAACGTTTTTTATATTCGATTCCTTAAATTTCCAGCTTTTTAAGCGCGCTAACATTATTATTCAGCACACTGAATATCTCAATACTTTTAGGAAATTTTAATCCTTTGATATTAGCTAAAAATATCCAGAAAGTGATTTGGTGTGTGAATGTAATAATTATAACTAAAACAATATATCTAACTATAAGCTACGACGTTCTAGTACACTCAATACAATATAAAAACACAAAATGTATCTCAAATTGTATTCAAGCTATGGAGAGATGGTCTTTAGTTAAAGCAGCAGTTAAACTGACTTGAAAATGGATAATAGGGTTTCTTAGTTTATTACAAATTGCAGTCTGTATGCAATTTACAGCGAGCGAAAACAGTTATGAGGTGAATTTGCTGAAACATGAACCAAATGCTTTGCCAAATTTAAAAACTGTTTCGTATGGAAATTGGCAATTTTAAATGCTGATGGTCGAAAATCTAAATTCTGTCAGCATTTTAGTGTACCTTTTTATGTCTGTTTGGTTTAGTGCTTTCCAAGTTGAATATTACCATTTTGCGAACAAGGAAAATTTTATTTCAATTTTGTTTTTTTATTTTTTACTTCTTTAAATTGTTTATTAGTAAACATAGCAATCAAATATACAGAATTTACAATTTTCTTAACGTACATAGTCATAATAAAAATTAATAAAAAGAAAATTAACACATTTAAAAAGTTTGGTCCCTGTGGCAGTACCTTTAACGCTGGCAGCATTTCCTCGCTGTATTGCGATATTTTATTTTAATTGAATTACCATGTGGTTAAAAGATAAAGAAGATAAGGGACAAAATAAATAAAGTACTCCTTTGTCTCTTTCTGTCAAATTGTGATTGCCCTGTGATAAAAAAAGACGACAGTGTAGCCGTAGTAACTGAGAAAATATGCTATAAACTGGTAAGATTATAGCAAGTTGTAATAACCTATATTAATTAAAAATTTAATAAAATAAAAATTATATTTACCGAACAGTACAAGGCGGCTTAATCTCAGGCATAAGAAAGTCTATCTCATAATAGACGACCTGCATCGCCGGACCATTTTCATCTCTCAAAACTAAATTCTTGGCACACGACTCGCCAGCTCTCACATTCACACACTTGGCTGGGAAATTCAATTATACTCTGTTACAGAATTTTTATAAAATAAGCAAATATCATTTGATTTTGAATTGAATAACAGTTACCAGCCTTTTAAAAAAGGCTTTTCTCGAACCTTTTAAGCTGTATTAGATCGAAAATATTGGATGGTGGAAATTTATTAACCTAAGATGGTAGAAAATGTTTGTTTCTAGACTGTGAAAGGCTTTAATTTACTACAAACGTGATAGTTTTTATTAAATCGAAACGTTTATTTAAATTCTTGCTATCCCATACACACTGTTCGCTTTTCCGGAATGAAACCTAAGTACTAAATAAAACTAAATTTTTCAATAATATTATCAAGGTATCAATAAAAAGTTTTATAAAACATATTTTACGATACATTTTTATTTATATAGATGTAAGTTTCCTATAAATTGCTTGGAGCCTGTATATATTTTCTATACTGATCTTATCTATCTCTCAACTCATCTGCGAAAAGATCAGAAAATAAATAGGCTACTGCCATCGATATTTGTTTCGTTTTTAATTCATACAAATCTAAATCACTACCAGAAAAACGGCAAAGCGATAACTCCTTAAAAAGTATCTTAACCATAATACGGTCTTATAAGATACATGACATTTTGACGACTCATTGGTCTAGTGGTTAGTACCCCTGACTGCGAAACCATGGGTCCCGGGTTCGATCCCCGTCTGAGACGAACATCGATGTGATGAGCATTTGGTGTTGTGCTTAGGTCTTGGGTGTTTAAATATGTATTTATATGTCTATCTATCTATAATATGTATGTATATCCGTAGGACAATTGGTGTGAATTGTCTTTTAAAAAAAAAAGATACATACCTACGATTTCATAAAGGATTACTACTCCTATGTCTTGTAAACTTTTATGCCATTTCAGAACCATTTCGAGAGGACCGGAAAATATCCTTGGGCCTTGTTTATAAAGTTCCTGTAAGTAATAATGGTAGATCCGACATCTAAAAGATATATAAAGACAAAGTACGTTTCTATCAGAAACAAAATATGTATTGAGTTAGTTATTACTAGTTCCAGCAACAAAAAGACCGTGGAAGTTATCACAAGATTTTTTTAAACTTATAGTTAGTTAGTTCGTATTAGAACTTCGGTTCGCCTTAATATAATTCTTTTTAGCCTACCCTTTTTAGTAGCTACATGCTAACATCTTGCTATCCCATAGACACTGTTCGCTTTGCTGGAATAAAACCTGAGTACTAAATAAAACCCATTTTTTAAATACTTTTAAACATTTCTCAGAGTTCAAGGAATTAATAAAAAAAAATTTACTCTAATTGCTCCTGTTGCCAACGAGTTTTGCGCTTAGCAATATATATATATATATATATATATAATAAATATAATAGATAGCTGTAGCAAGATATCTTAGTTGACAAACAGAGCGCTACAAGATCATATGTTTAGAGCGATCGGATTACCTCAACGCTATTGGGTTTCACTGGAAGGAGTCTTTGCAATAATTACTGGATGCAATAAATGAGTAATAGGAATCCTAACGAATAACAATTATATATATTTATATAATACCAGATTACACAATAAATATAATGACTGGACCACCTAGTTAGGAACGACCTATTTTGAGCAGAAAGTTCTTCCTTGAAGTCCCTATTAATTAACGTAATCTTATTGTAGTATGCAATTTGGTACTGCTGTTTTTACGGGAAAGCTATTATGTACTCGTATATGTGATGTTATTGCATTATAACGCTAGAACAATTACAAATTTTCATTGTTATCTACATTATTTTTGACTTATCCCGTTTTTATTAAAAACTTTCATTTAAATTGTTTAATATTACAATTTACTATTGCAATATATTGATAATCCCTTTATCCCCAAATAAATAATGATACGCTCATGAAATTTGTACAGTTGCGGGAAACGGGAAAACAATGGACGCGACGTTAGTCCTAATTACATGCCTCTAATTACGAAAATTAATTGGAATGCATTTGAAACACTATATACATTTATATTACATACATTTCTTAAAAAGCTTATGTAATCTTGTAAAGTAAAAAGACGAATTTGTTCACCACCTTTGCTATCATAGACACGATACGTCATCAGTTTCTCATTTTAAGACCATTATGTTTAAACGTTGTGAAAGTAATAATAATATTAGCGTCACGAAGATGTGCAGCGTTTTAAGAAAACGGGGAGAGCGATTGAGAGAGAGTAGAGAAAGGCAAATTACGTTATAGAAATTCTATTTTTAAAAATAAAATTTCGTAAAGAGAATTTATGAAATATTTGTATTTTATATTTACGCAAAATAATATATTGAAATCTCAAATGACGAATTGTAAATTAAAGTGCCACGTATGTATATTATTAAAATTAAATTTATAATTTGTATAAATTTTCTACACTTTTTATATTTTGACAATTAAATTCATTAAATTCCTAACATATATTCCTATTTCCCTACCTCTAAGTCTCGGAAACCTTAAGTTTAAGATTTGTATAAATTAGTTTGCCAAAGAAGTTTCATTTCTGACGTGCATTTTGTACGCACGCACTTTTTTTGTTATATGTGGCTCTGTTGCGCGGCTATAAATTAATTACTTTTTAAATTAATTTATCTGAAACTATTGCTAATCTTATATTTGTCTAAATACTTACCAATAATAATTGTTATGAATGGGTCCGAGCTTTGCTTTCAACGACACAATCAACACTTTTTAATGATATTTTTAGGTATTTACATTACTTTGGAGCACGGAATTTAATTCACAACCAATTAAGTTACACTTAACTACTAAGCTTTATTTTAATTTATACGTAAACAATTGTATAAATACTTAATCCCATCCACTAACAGTATAAGCAGCTTACCTTTCCAAAAATCAATGCAGTTCTCTTTTTGATAAGTATTACAGTTGTTGATAAATTATTCATCTGATTATAATAATGAGAAAATATAATATCCTATAGACTATTCAGGTATTCAGATACTTGAGAATTTCAGACTCTATTGTGAAAACAATGATCGATAATCGACGTTAAAGACAAAACGGCACTCGACCGGATATTGCATCGGAGCTGACTGACTCCAATGAAGTCCCTTTATTTGAAGTGAAGTACTTTCAACAAAGGAAAATGCATAGACTTTCTATATTACTCAGGTCAAAGATTAACAATAAATGAACGAATCTTAGGCCGAGATTGTACTATTATTAAAGCAGATTTCAAAAACCTCTAAATTCTTACATCGTTATTGCAAAATCGCCTGCATCTAGAGAACACCTCACATACACACCCTCACGTACTAAGGTAAGTAGGTGTTTCACGTTCGAGCGAATGTTAAAGGCACACATAGAAATCAAGTCCATTGGTGTACTGCCGGTGATCGAACCTACGACCTCACGAGTGAGAGCCGCATACTGAATCCACTAGGCCAACACTGCTGCACCTCACAGATTCATTAGATCACAGAAATTGTTATTACATTTTATAAACGTGGAACGTTCTAATATATTAAAATTTAATTTGCTTATTGCTGTATAGCATTCACTAGCATTAGAATGGTCTACTCATAATAACAAGATTAAATTGTAATCAGAGTATTCCAATTATGTCTACACGAATTTCAATGCATGATTAATTAGCGACTAATTTAAGGCATATAAAACATTTTTAGCTTCATAAGTAAACGTTAACTGTAACTGATTGACTCTGAGTAGATGGGTGTAGAATACGTACAACGTAAAGATTTAATTAAGATTTCAATGTGCCCTCATTAAATTTAAATTATGGCACATAAAGCTTAATTGAAACAGATTTCACGCAAGTTAAGCAGCTAATTAGGTTGCCTACGTGAAAGGTCTTAGAATTAACACACCTGTTATATTGGCTATTAAATAAAGATAAATGTATGAAATAGTTCATAAGGTGCAATATTGTTTAGTTGACTGATTTAATAAAGTAGCTTTATATGTCTGGCTCGTACGATACTCAGTTCTGGAAAAATGGAAAAACATATTTTCTATGTGATTTTAAATAAAAATAAAGAACTACAAATCGACATGTGCTAGGCATAGACTGCCCTTTTTTATATAATGCAAACGAGCCTACGGGAAGGAAACCCAAAAAGGGCAGTCATCGCATCCCAACCGGGTGTCCATCCGTTTTTAGTAGGTGCGTTGCCAGCCTTTGAGCGCGGAGTACACTCTAACTTTGAATAGTTGAAGTCGATTTCACAATTCACAGTTCGCTAGTTATCAAAAGAAAATGCCTTGTGAAACCAACGAACGAACGAACTGTGAAAGACCTCTAGCATCAAGGTGATGTTGATGGAATTTTGAATTGATACGGCTCGTACGGTTTTGAAACGAGGTAGGAGGGATCAACCCAAAAACAATTCAGAACACTCACCGTAGTACACTTTATAGAAAACGCAAAGAGACGCAATGTCTCTGCGTAGAGAGAGAGAATCAAGCCGATCAGTAATACATTGGAGATTGACAATTCGACAAGCCCTTCGCTGAATTTCGTCAAAAGGAAGAAGCTGGTATTTGTGAGTTTTTGTTCCTGTATAAAACGAGTCGTATTTGCTACGAGTGCTAATTATTGTATTAACATTTGACAGCTATTCTCTTCCAAAGAAGTAATGACGACTCCTAAGAAATATTAAAATCAAGTTAGTTGTCCAATGTGGAATATAAAAAAAACTAAACAAAATGTGAAATATACAGATGCACAAATGTATGATCTTCTTTCGTGTTTATGGATATAAATTTTAAAATAAAATCGGCTGGACCAATTTTCATGGTCATTTGTTGTATTTGTCTCCGTCTCCAAACCATGAAAATATTGGAAAATTGGCGGAAGAAAAATCCAATACAAAATTTTCATGGGTAGTCTGTCAAAGACCAAAATGTCCCGTCAAATTAAAAAACTTATTTAAAATAAAGGTTTTGAATCGACAAGATATATCCACAATATTCTTATTGGCGCATTTAGATTTTATTAATGTAGAATAATGTCAGTAATGAAAAAGAATTGATTATTTATTGGTTGTTACGTACGTGCGTAAATATTTTCTGTATACAACAAATCAATTCAAATTTTAACGTTGAGTATTGTAAATTGAACTATTCACTATTAAGTGCACTTAATATGTATTTTGTATTAATTGTATTATTTTCATAAAATCAAATTAAGTTATATCTGTAACACGACATTCGTTGATAGACTGTACGAAGTTCGCCGGGTCAACTAGTCTTTATATATATAACTCTGCTGTACGTGTATCACTGAACTGCTCTTAAACGACTGGACTGATTTGAATGAATTTTTTGTATGCGTTAGGGTGGCACCCTGGATGGCTTAGATTCACAAATCAGCATCATACTTTGTTTAATATCCTAATCGCTTGAAATATCATTCAGGGCAACGTCCGTCAGGTACGCTAGTATAGTGTAAAAAACATACTAACAATAAATAAGGTTTTAATTAATCTTGATATTACCTTTTGTAACTCAAAGCGAGATTTACTTTGAACTTGAATTTGCGTCGAACTTGCTGATGACGTGGAAGGCTCTGGCGCTTTAGTGTTGACTATAATGTAATTCAAAATTAAAGTTAGAGTTACTTGAGTTACGTTTTTGTCTTTCCCATCAAGCAACTGTAACTGCATCGATCATTTTTATATAGTCTACAATAAAACATAATCTAGTTACATTAGATCTCAGAAATTATAATTACATTTTACTGAGGAGGAAAAAAATAACGAAAAATAATTCCACTACTACGTGCCACTATGTCCATGAGTCACTTAAAAAAATACTTAAAAAATAACAACCTATTTAAAAAATACGTAACTATCAGTTTGACCTGCACCTTTTGTTGGAATTGGAGAGTTTTGAATATAAGATAGATATGTCCCTATACTAAAGTATCTAAATATGTTTGTCCACAAAATTGTCAATCATAAATAGTTTCTGTCTGTTGAGAGTTTAAAAATGGTTCAATTTAGTTAAATTACTGTTTTAAATACCTTCGGTAATCTTCCAGACAAGCAGATCACACCTTGATATTAATGATGTTAAATTAAAATTTTAAAATATAAGTTTTAATCATGGTAATAAAAATATGGAGAAAGGAAGGTGCTTCTCTTCCTCCGATCTAAAGGATTAGTCCAAACTCTGACTGGACCGAAGGCCCTAGTGGGTAGAGATTGTAGACATTCATAGTGTTTTAGTAAAAATAAAGTAATGTTTCAAATAACTCAGTTATTAGTACAAATATTTCTCATAATATTCTGCAGACACGGTAAAAGGTCGTAACTTATTACCTTCACTTAAAAAAGTTGAGTAATGAGCTCGTTAGGTATGTGTTAAGAGGATTAAAAGATTAAGCGCAAATGTGTTGCCATTTTTCGATTTTAATATAGAAAAACTCGCAATTTTACACGAGAAGTCTTTCATTTCTTTGCTAAATTTTATCGAAGTATGCTCGATTCATCGACTTAAGGACCCATCTGGTCGCCAAACTCCAAAAAAGTACATTGTTTCATCCATATTTTAGTTTTCTGTTTATCAATTTTTAATTATTATTTTACTAAATATTACAAATACTTTATTTAAAATTAATTAGCTTTTCTACTATGATTGATGTAATAATTTAGTCATATAATATATAAATTTATTACTTTTTATATGTGCACCGTACAGTACATCAACAATAATTTAAAAAATTAAACCACCTTTAAAAACCTGTCAACTCTACTAAGAACCTCCCTTTATTATACGTCATGTCCCCTTCAGAAATGCGTCGTCAAAATCTGTTCATTAGTTTGTAGTATATACCATTTTTTATGCATTCTCTAAGTTGGAGTATGCCAGATTTTAATCAGCTTTCTGATATGACATTTATTTCCCGAGAATTTTGTGGACAAACAAACTTACGAAATGTAAAACTTGAAAGCCTAAATACATACTCAAATATGACCTAATTCCAACAATACACACATTACAATCATTCATGACTAATAATTTCCTTATTGAAGTCGGTTTAAAATAACTTTTGAGTACAAGAGGGTTTTGTTTCAAGTTCAGTTCAACAGCTTCAAGAGTATTCAAAGATTTAACATAATTACTGTTTAACAGACAGCTTCTAAAATTTCAACCAATTGAGAAATAAAGTTTATTCACGGTTAAATAAACAAATAAAGATTTTATTTGGAAAAAAATCTGTATAATGTTACTTCAAATTTTATTTACTTATTAACGATACTAGATGAAAACACTGTATCATATATTTGTATTGGATGATACATTTACGATGTGATGGGAGAAACACAGGCCTTATAGTACGGGAGGTAGCAACGTTTGAAAAGAAAGAATTATATGTGATATTCTTCCTTCTTCCTTCGTTGTGATCTGGCTGTAGGTTGGTCATTAGGCGATCCTATCTGTCAGGTAATAATCCTGGATTTTAAAAGCATTTTAAGAAGCGTAATTTTTGATTTCCTTTTAAAACGTCTACCTGAATACTTTTTTATTGCCAGACATTTTTCACGTTGCTAACTATGTGCCAGACGATTTTAGTTTTATTTTATAAAAATTTCAAAGCATTTTAGAATGTCTGTAATTTTAATATATGTTATTTAATAAAGAAAAACTGAAAATGAATTTGCCAGACATTAATTCGATTGTTAAGCCTTGAATTAAATGATAGTATTGCAGATGATGAAGCATTGCATTTTAAGAAGCAATTTGATTTCCTTTTTAAATACGTTACCTGACATACTTTTTTATTTCCAGACATTTTGCACGTTGCTAACTATGTGCCAGGCGCGATTTTAATTTTATTTTATAAAAATTTCAAAGCATTTTGAATGTCTGTAATTTTAATATTATGTTATTTAAATAAAGAAAAACTGAAAATGAATTTGCCAGACATTAATTCGATTGTTAAGTCTTGAATTAAAATGATAAAGTATTGCAGTATGATGAAGCATTGCATTTTAAGAAGCGTAATTTTTGATTTTTCCTTTTTAAAACGTCTACTGACATACTTTTTTATTGCCAGACATTTTTCACGTTGCTAACTATGTGCCAGACGCGATTTTGTTTTATTTTTATAAAAATTTCAAAGCATTTTAGAATGTCTGTAATTTTAATATTATGTTATTTAATTATAAGAAAAACTGAAAATGAATTTGCCAGACATTATTCGATTGTTAAGCCTTGAATTAATGATAGTATTGCAGTATGATGAAGATTGCATTTTAAAAGGTAATTTTTGATTTTCCTTTTTAAATACGTCTACTGACATACTTTTTTATTTCCAGACATTTTGCACGTTGTAACTATGTGCCAGGCGCGATTTTAAGTTTTATTTTTATAAAAATTTCAAAGCATTTTAGAATGTTTAATTTTAATATTATTATTTAAAAAGAAAAACTGAAAATGAATTTGCCAGACATTATTCGATTGTTAAGTCTTGAATTAAAATGATAAAGTATTGCAGTATGATAAGCATTGCATTTTAAGAAGCGTAATTTTTGATTTTTCCTTTTTAATACGTCTACTGAATACTTTTTTATTGCCAGACATTTTTCACGTTGCTAACTATGTGCCAGGCGATTTATTTTATTTTTATAAAAATTTCAAAGCATTTTGAATGTCTGTAATTTTAATATTATTATTTAAATATAAGAAAAACTGAAAATGAATTTGCCAGACATTAATTCGATTTTAAGTCTTGAATTAAAATGATAAGTATTCAGATGATAACAGATTTTAAGGAGCGTAATTTTTGATTTTTCCTTTTTAAAACGTCTACCTGAATACTTTTTTTATTGCCAGACATTTTTCACGTTGCTAACTATGTGCCAGGCGCGATTTTAAGTTTTATTTTTATAAAAATTTCAAAGCATTTTAGAATGTCTGATTTAATATATGTTATTTAAATAAAGAAAAACTGAAAATGAATTTGCCAGACATTAATTCGATTATTAAGCCTTGAATCAAAATGATAAGTATTGCAGTATGATGAAGCATTGAATTTTAAGAAGCGTAATTTTGATTTTTCCTTTTTAAATACGTCTACCTGACATACTTTTTTATTTCCAGACATTTTGCACGTTGCTAACTTGTGCCAGGCGCGATTTTAGTTTTATTTTTATAAAAATTTCAAAGCATTTTAGAATGTCTGTAATTTTAATATTATGTTATTTAATTAAAGAAAAACTGAAAATGAATTTGCCAGACATTAATTCGATTGTTAAGCCTTGAATTAAAATGATAAAGTATTGCAGTATGATGAAGCATTGCATTTTAAGAAGCGTAATTTTTGATTTTTCCTTTTTAAATACGTCTACCTGACATACTTTATTTTATTGCCAGACATTTTTCACGTTGCTAACTATGTGCCAGACGCGATTTTAAGTTTTATTTTTATAAAAATTTCAAAGCATTTTAGAATGTCTGTAATTTTAATATTATGTTATTTAAATATAAGAAAAACTGAAATGAATTTGCCAGACATTAATTCGATTGTTAAGTCTTGAATTAAAATGATAAAGTATTGCAGTATGATGAAGCATTGCATTTTAAGAAGCGTAATTTTTGATTTTTCCTTTTAATAGTCTACCTGACATACTTTTTTATTGCCAGAATTTTTCACGTTGCTAACTATGTGCCAGGCGCGATTTTAAGTTTTATTTTTATAAAAATTTCAAAGCATTTTAGAATGTCTGTAATTTTAATATTATGTTATTTAAATATAAGAAAAACTGAAAATGAATTTGCCAGACATTAATTCGATTGTTAAGCCTTGAATTAAAATCATAAAGTATTGCAGTATGATGAAGCATTGCACTTTAAAAAGCGTAATTTTTGATTTTTCCTTTTTAAATACGTCTACCTGACATACTTTTTTATTTCCAGACATTTTTCACGTTGCTAACTATGTGCCAGGCGCGTTTTAGTTTTATTTTTATAAAAATTTCAAAGCATTTTAGAATGTCTGTAATTTTAATATTATGTATTAATTATAGAAAAACTGAAAATGAATTTGCCAGACATTAATTCGATTGTTAAGCCTTGAATTAAATGATAAGATGCAGTATGATGAAGCATGCATTTTAAGAAGCGTAATTTTTGATTTTCCTTTTTAAAACGTCTACCTGACATACTTTATTTTATTGCCAGACATTTTTCACGTTGCTAACTATGTGCCAGACGCGATTTTAAGTTTTATTTTTATAAAAATTTCAAAGCATTTTAGAATGTCTGTAATTTTAATATTATTTATTTAAATATAAGAAAAACTGAAAATGAATTTGCCAGACATTAATTCGATTGTTAAGTCTTGAATAAAAACTATTGAAGAATCATTATCGTGTGAAGAACACGAAGAAGCTGATTCTAGATAATTTTTCATATTTGCCAAATCGATTTTGACGCAGAAGTTGTTATACGCTGTTCTGATTCTGATATTTTAATATACTTCTGGGAAATATGATCACCTGAAAAATCTTTGAAAATTTGGATAAAATGGGTTTGGAAATCATCAGCTTACATAAACATCAAGAATTGTACCGAATTTTGGTGACTCTTTATGCAAAGCTTTACCATGCTTCCACGCAATCACCGGATGTGATTACACGCCAGCTTTTTTTAGAAAAGGCAAAGTTAAGCCTTTTAAAATATTAGAAAATTCTGAGGAATACCAGTTAGCTTTTGATAATATAATTTCGGATGATAAAGAAGTACTTGAAACTACGTTTGTAACCCTGAGAAATTTATTTGTCAAATGTATGGAGTTAAAAATTGTTCGATTGTTAATGATGTTCGATTTCATTTATTTTCAAGTACGTTTAAGTCAAAAAATCAGATGAGAACTTTGACAAAAAATTTCGAAACTTTGACTCATCAGTTTGCCACCCTGTAAGTGGAATTGGAACAGCATTTATTGAGGGTTCGTTACGTGACGAAAATTTGGAGAAATGCTCACTCAAAACATCCAACATCTTTATCTCCAATGGCTTTTGGGTGGACCATTAACGGTGACAAATATGATTTTGTTTGGTTTTTGGGAGATCAATTACCATCCTCATTGCAGATATTAGTTCAAAGTAGTGTTAAATGGAACATTTATCAATAATAACTAAATGTTTAATAACGAACAAGAAAAATTACACTGTTTATTTTTTTCTGTTGCAGATGATTTAGAAGATAACGAAAGTTCCCAAGAAGATGATATGAATGACACCGACAAAGATAGCGACGAGATGATGATGGTTATGAAGATGCCTCTTTTTTGTGACGTCACTATAGGCTAAAACAACTTGTAAAACTTAATATTAATTATTCATAACTTACATTTAGTAATTGGACAATTTAAATAAAGTGTGATTATTAATTTTAATCAAATTTTATATTCCTTTTATGCTCGTACTACAAGCATTATACTGCAATACTTTTCATGACTTTTACATTTTAATTCAAGGCTTAACAATCGATTAATGTCTGGCAAATTCATTTTCAGTTTTTCTTATTAAATAACAAAATTAAAATTACAGACATTCTAAAATGCTTTGAAATTTTTATAAAAATAAAACTTAAAATCGGTCTGGCACATAGTTAGCAACGTGAAAAATGTGGCATAAAAAAGTATGTCAGGTAGACGTATTTAAAAAGGAAAAATCAAAAATTACGCTTCTTAAATGCAATGCTTCATCATACTGCAATACTTTATCATTTTAATTCAAGACTTAACAATCGAATTAATGTCTGGCAAATTCATTTTCAGTTTTTCTTATATTTAAATAACTAATAAAAATTACAGACATTCTAAAATGCTTTGAAATTTTTATAAAAATAAAACTTAAAATCGCTCTGGCACATAGTTAGCAACGTGAAAAATGTCTGGCAATAAAATAAAGTATGTCAGGTAGACGTATTTAAAAAGGAAAAATCAAAATTACGCTTCTTAAAATGCAATGCTTCATCATACTGCAATACTTTATCATTTTAATTCAAGGCTTTACAATCGAATTAATGTCTGGCAAATTCATTTTCATTTTTCTTAATTTAAATAACATAATATTAAAATTACAGACATTCTAAAATGCTTTGAAATTTTTATAAAAATAAAACTTAAAATCGCGCCTGGCACATAGTTAGCAACGTGCAAAATGTCTGGAAATAAAAAAAGTAGTCAGGTAGACGTATTTAAAAGGAAAAATCAAAATTACGCTTCTTAAAATGCAATGCTTCATCATACTCAATACTTTATCATTTTAATTCAAGACTTAACAATCGAATTAATGTCTGGCAAATTCATTTTCATTTTTCTTATATTTAAATAACATAATATTAAATTACAGACATTCTAAAATGCTTTGAAATTTTTATAAAAATAAAACTTAAAATCGCGTCTGGCAATAGTTAGCAACGTGAAAAATGTCTGGCAATAAAAAAGTATCAGGTAGACGTATTTAAAAAGGAAAAATCAAAAATTACGCTTCTTAAAATGCTTTTAAAATCAGGATTATTACCTGACAGATAGGATGCGCATAATGAACGCAACCGTACCGCCAGCCAGACTGCCCAGACTCTAACCGGAAGTGCAAGAAGGAAGACATATCACAAAATCAGCTGACCTGGAATTCTTTCTCGAAAACGTTGCTACCTCCGTACTATTAGCGTAAGTACGTAACTCAACGTATATCAAGTACAGCGTAAACCCTTTATAACGAATTTCAAGGGATTGAGTATTTTTATTTTGTTATAGAGAGTTTTCGTTATACGGAAGAGAAGGAATTTATATATCCTGTATATAATGGCCAAAAAGGCGTGAATCAAAAGCAAATAGATGATAGATGAGCTCATCAGCTGCAAAAAATTGTTCTACGGGAGGTCCTGAAGCTCAACCCCTGCAGAGATATAATTTATTTTGCGTTTTTATAAGAAAATTGTTTTTTTTACTAATACCTATTAAAATTCGAAAAAATCTACATTCTGTATCTTTTTCATAATATCCAATAGATTGGTACTGATGAGTCCTTGCGTTAGACATACTATTTATAGTTGTTTATTGAGTATATTGAAGATAATATTAAGTTATACGATATAAAAAATTTTCAAATCATAACTTTTTATTATTTCGGACCTCACTGTGAAAAAAAATACTCTACCAAGAAGTGACCCTGTATAACAAGTTTAGGCGCATTTAATGGAGATTCTGAAAAGGTATTACACATGGCCATGAGTCGAATTTTTTGACCACCCTGTATACAATAGTAAGGTGACGATGGTGCGTTTAGTAACTGAGACCAAAATTTCCTATAGGCAATGTAATCTTATAATAACACCTGTTAATGCAAATAACAATTACAAAGGTGAGACGGCTGTGGCCTCAGGTGTCTTTCTTAGAAATTTTGGCACCTCAAAAGGTTAGTTTTGTAAGCTGCTTATAAAAATAGTTACACTTAACTATGTTGTTGATGTCTAAATATGAAAGTATTTCTTCGTAATAGAGAATGTTTGTTATAAAGTGTGAATTAATGTATGGTTTTGTGTTAAACCAAACTAATTTAACAAATTTTTACGTTATAGATAGTTTTTCGTTTTAACGACTGACGTTATATAGAATTTACACTGTACATGAAAAATGTATTGGTTTTTGATATAAATATAGTTTTTGTAAATATACATTTTTTTTTCAAATTTAGTCAACACTCGTTCCTGAATATCACACTAAAATATTACCTTACGAATAAATGATTATTGTATCTATGCAAAGAGTTTTTAATGCTTACTCATTATTTTTTCGGAAGAGTCTGGTCGCCTAACATTGAAATGTTCTAATGTTTGGTTAATAAAATTTTATAATAAAACCAATCTAATTCTCTTACCAATATTAGTTTTATGCTGGGGTAGGCTTTCTTTGGGAAATATGTTTTCCTTCTGTTGAGGCCTGGGTTGATACTTAGCCAACTCTGGATAACGCGTCCCTATAATTAATATTTTGAAATACCCTCAAATTAAAACGAAAACGTCTCAATATAATTTTACACACCAGACTTGTGAAAAGATTTATCTATCTTTTGCGCGCCGATAAATCTGCGATTTTCATATTCACCAAATGCATCTATTGGTATATTTGCCAAATCCAATTGCATTTCTTTTTCCTAAAATATGCTTCTTTTCTTTAACAATATTATGTATATATGTTGTGAAGTAAGTAGGGGGGGGGGGAAAAATTTTTTAAAGTGCCTTTATAGTGTGGGACATATTTAGAACAATTTGACAATAATATAAAATATCGATTACAATTTTCTTTAACAATATGTATGTATATATGTTAGTGTTCAAGAAAAGCCTTCTTAAGCTTAATAGTAATAACGTTTAATTTTTGGAATCTTTTAAAAATTTCTTTCGTTTTTAACGAAATTTGTGAAAGGGTAAAGAGAAAAAGGAAGGGAGGGGAAAAGAAAAAAAATTTTTGGGAGAAAATTTGGGGAGGGAAAAAAAGGGGGTTTTTGGCAAGATTTTTTGCCCGCTCTACGCCCTTGACTTGTGAACTGGTAGTAAATGTAAATTTACAATTAATTTAACTTCTTTCGACGCTTATGATTGTATTAGTTGATATATTTTAGAACAAAAAAAAAAAAAAAAAAAAAAAAAAAAAAAAAAAAAAAAAAAAAAAAAAAAAAAAAAAAAAAAAAAAAAAAAAAAAAAAAAAAAAAAAAAAAAAAAAAAAAAAAAAAAAAAAAAAAAAAAAAAAGGGGGGGGGGGGGGGGGGGGGGGGGGGGGGGGGGGGGGGGGGGGGGGGGGGGGGGGGGGGGAAAAAAAAAAAAAAAACCCCGGAAAAAAAAAAAAAAAAAAGGGGGGGGGAAAAAAAAAAAAAAAAAAAAAAAAAAAAAAAAAAAATTTTTCCCAAAAAAAAAAAAAAAAAAAAAAAAAAAAAAAAAAAAAAATTTTTTTTTTTTTTTTTTTTTTTAAAAAATATTTTTTTTTTTAAAAAATTTGGGGAAAACTAACCTTATTATATCCCAAATATACTGTAATTTATTTGATTAAAAATATTTATTTTTTCACCTGTTTTTGAATTAATATCGAAAAAAACACCTAATTTTCAATCGAAAATTCTGACGTCAAAATTTCAGCTTTTTTCAAAAAGTTGGTATGCTTTCAGTTCGTTGAAATCTCTACTTTCCTATGGTAAAAAAATATATATATATTACCATAGTAAATCTTCTCAGAAAATGCAAAACATCGTATGCAGTAACGCCCAGACCCGTCATACCCTTCCCTACTTCTCTATGAAATACGAAAATTTTAGCCTATCTAAAGGCTAAAAATTTTTTTTAGGTCACTCAGGTATATATAAGTTATCTTAAAATAGTAATAAATAGGCATCTAATTATAATTTAAAGAAGATTCATATATATATATATATATTTTTTTTTACCATAGGAAAGTAGAGATTTCAACGAACTGAAAGCACACCAACTTTTTGAAAAAAGCTGAAATTTTGACGTCAGAATTTTCGATTGAAAATTAGGGTGTTTTTTCGATATTAATTCAAAAAAAGGTGAAAAAATAAATATTTTTAATCAAATAAATTACAGTATATTTGGGACATAATAAGGTAAGTTTTCACCAAATTTCGTTAAAAAAAAAGAAATTTGTAAAAGATAAAAATTAAAAACCAAAAACTTGGTTTTTTGAATTTTTCACATAAATTTTGAGGTTATGTGAAAAATGTGTGAATACAAAAGTTTTAGATCTTTTTATTACCTACAACTTTGCCATTTAACTTTTTTCGATAGGACTTTTAGTTTTGCCGGAAATCGAGATAAACCGTTTTTTACCCTTAAAACTCCCCCCTTCCCGACCTCAGATCGACCGTAATTTATTTTTTCCTTTCATTTTGATCATATTCCCCTGCTTTTCTAATGGGTTTCATCCTACTGTAATTTTTTTCACTTTTTATTTATTTTGAAGGCTATCTGCACTGGTCTACTTGGGAAACGAATGCTTACTTTTGACTTTTTCGCTTGTGTGTAGTGAGGTAGTGTGTAGTGACATCTATCAGCCAATAATAGTAAAATGACGATAATTTCAAATTTGGTACAAATAAATAAATCTGAATATATGATGACAACAATATTATTAATTACTAACTTACCTGAGGAAATATAAGAAGCGCTGTTATCAGCATAAGATGCTAGATATCTGGAATCTATTCCCGAAATAACACCCGTGTTTTGTTTCATCTAAAAGTATAACGTTTTTTAAGGCATAGAAATGTATTAAATTATAATAAATCTGCTCTGTACCTTACATTAGTAGTTTGGTCTTTCTCGATAAAGGAATTAAAATATATTAACATACATTGGACATCAGTCACAGAATACTGATCATCTATAAAGAAATCAAAAATATATTGTAGTCAATGGTCCCATATAATACTAATATTATTGTCTTTGTTACGAGCGCTTTTCAGCAATGAGCCTATGACTTCGAGTTATTATGTAATAATAATAATAATATATTTGCGTTTATACATATTACAGTTTATTGTATTTTATTAAAGTCACCTATATGTAACTACTACCAATGTATCCGTTCGTTCGAATTTCGTAGTCTAGCGCTGTGACATTATCGGTTTATTCACATTCACACACAAATATACAGTAGGTATTAACAATATTCCAAATGGACATAATAATAATGGTAATTAACAATTTCGTAATTTTTTATATCATCTCTCGGTTTCCCTAAGTTGAGATGTTTCATGTGTCGACAATAAGTTTAATTTTATTACTAACATTTAATTCACTATTTCCTAGGTTGTCCACATTTTGCGTAAAATTGCCCCCAGTGTACTGATATCCAGGAATTTGTTGATTCCTGTTAAAACATATTACAATAATAATACACATATATCACAAACATGCACATAGTAAACAGTATTATTTCAATATCTCGTTTTAAAACACGTGTAAATGCCCAATATGTTTTACCGTATATCTTAAAGACCAGAATAGTCCGCGTATTTTTTTTCTTATGTTAAGTGATACTGCCGCCCATGGACACTCGCAATGCCAGAGGGCTCTCTTTTAAGAATTGGTACGCTCTTTCCTTGAAGGACCCTAAGTCGAATTGGTTCGGAAATACTTCAGTGGGCAGCTGGTTCCACAAAGTTCCCGCGAGATAGGATCTACCTCAATACAAAGCTACTTACATAGTAATATTATTTCCTGCACTAGTTGGTGAAAACTCAATCATTTGATTTCTTGTGAGATGCTCTGGAACGGAGATTTCATGCATCTATATTGGCATCGCAGATTTTTTTTTATACATTTCGTGTCTCATTTATTTATTTATGAAATAAGTTGTATTTCTTAAATGTTACATCAAAAACGGACGGTGACATATTTTGTTACGATTTCAACTAAAACCATACTTAACTGAAGCTTATTCTCTCAGAGAAAAATAGGTATTTTTTTTTTAAATCTCAGCTCCCAAGCAAAAGAGATGTAAGAAAAAGATACAAAAAGCTGATTTCTGGGCTTTACGATGTTATACAATTAATCCAAATATATTTTTTTAAATAAGAGTCTATTTTGTGAGGAGTGTGAAAAGCCTTTGGCTACTTATGAAGAAACATATGTCTATATCGTAGCTCCCAAAGCGTTAAAATTATTATTACTATTATCAATACAAATAAAACTTATATTAAATCAATAGAATCTAAACTTAAGCTGTACATAATAATTATTAAAAAAACATAAACGAAATTTTTAAACTTAACTATTTTTTACCTCGGAAGAGTCGAGTCTTTATTTTTTTATAATTATAGAAAACTAATATAAATAAGAATTAAAATCTCACCAATATTAATCTTATGCTGGAATGGTAGGCTATCTTGGGGCAAGTTGTTTTGAGGCCTGGGTTGATATATAGCTAAATCCGGACAACGCATCCCTATATTTTTAATATAAAAAAATTATAACTTCCATAAAAGTAATATTTAGACGGAAGAAAATGCGCATTTGAAATACTATATAAATAAGAAAGAATGAATATAATATCATAGAAAGTATAGTAATAAGTATATGTATATCTTGGTTGTCATGGACTTGATTTATTTATTTATTAATGGCCCTTTTCCCGAAGGCGTAGGCAAATACCAAGGAACTCCAGTTGCGTCAGACATTACCTCTCTCGCCTCATCCACTTTCATGATATTCACCATGCAAGCTCGGCGGTTATGGTTAATTATAACTTCCCTTCTCTAGTACGTCCTGGATTTGGTCCAGGTATGTACGATAAGGCCTATCCCACCCATTTCAACATTTAAAAAAAATTTATAAGTACAATTTCTGGTAGTACACAGAGGCCTGCTTTAAAAATATTTATCTTTGCACTAAAATAATCACAGCTATCTTGGGCTTATTTAAAAATTATTATAAAAAATACTTAATAAATGTTAATTAATAATCAAAAGCTATTTGCAAAAAAGGAAAACTTTTACATAACATAAAGCTTCTCAGAGTATGTATTTTAATGTATAAAACTTTAGTAAATAAATAACAATATAGAGAAATTATTTCATTTTATACCCGAGGCAATATTAGTACCGCTGTTAGCATAAGATGCATGATATCTGGGATCTATTCCAGAAATAACACCTGGATTTTGATTCATCTGAAACGAAGTATATAAAATAAATTTGCCATATGGCCTATGGCATGACACATCTATAAACCTTCGTAACACTAGCTAAAAGAACAGGAATTTATAAACGCAAATTTTAGCCTCGAATGTGAATTTACCCTAAGACACTAATATCGACACAATATCGTTTACCTGCCTCTGGAGATACTGAATATACTTCTACTACTACAAATACCTTCCCTATTCTTTGTGGGCTAAGAATACGAATACATTATTTACACACACTTACGGCACTGAAAAGCACTCGAAAATCTGTTTATATATATTTGCGTTTATAGTTAAAGTAGTTTTATATATGTATTTCTCAGTATAACACTTTATTGACTTGTAATATAAGTAGTAAATTTTAATTTTCGATAGCATTTTCTAGTATTACTCACATTAAATGCACTGTTCCCTGGGATCTCCATATTTTGCATATGATTGCCTCCAGTGTACTGATATCCAGGAATTGGTTGATTCCTATTTAAACACCAACACTCTAGTAAACAGCTGAACAACGATTTATGCAATATATTTCGTATTGGGTTGCGTACTTAACAAATATCCGGTATGTTTACGTTTTTATCCTATAAGTAGTTTGTTTCTTTAAAAGATCTACTTGAGGACCGAGGCCAGAACATTAGTTGCTTTAGTCATTCCTAATCCTGATTTTTTTTTAATCTTATTTATTTTATAAGCTGATTGATTATATTAAAAACGAAAATACCTAAAATGGTCTTTTAGGATTGAAGTTATGTATTTACAATTATTTTTCATAATGCTATGCTTTAGAAAATAAGTTGTGTCTTATCGCTCTGGGATCTTGGACTATTAAAATTATGAAAAATAATTGTAAATACAATCCGGTAAAAAATTGTTTTATTATCAAATGTGTGAAAGTTATGTCAATACTATCACAAAATTTTACATTTCAAGTGTGCATTCATTAATAATTGCAAAAACTTAAACTTATGCCCTCTTAAAACAACCTAAGCTGTACATAATATTAAAAATACACAAAACACTCAAATAAATTTCAAAAGTTTGTTCCCCGTGGCACCTTTAACGCAGCAATATCTCGCTGTATTACGGTTCCTATGCGTTAAGGAAAATACCAGCTTTTGGGTCACTGGTACATTCTACCAAGCGTCAACTTATTTTTTATACCGAACCGGACAGACATTTGACCGGATCCCACCTGATGTTAAGTGGGGTTAGGAGTTGCAACCAATTGGAGGGTACGCCCGTCCAGATGTTGCCTATTTATGTTGTATGTTGAATGAACCCATATCTATAATTGGCAACCTACGGCCCAGGAGTCTCTACTTCAAAGGATACGCAATCAAAGTAATGGTCTTGGATCATTCTATTAGTCTTAAATAAGACAATTATTTACATTTATTTTTAAATATTTTATTTTAAAAACACAATCGAGTTATTAGGTATCTCCCGCGAGATAGGATCTACCTCAATGCGAAGCTACTTACATAGTAATATTATTTCCTGCACTAGTTGGTGAAAACTCAATCATTTGATTTCCCGTGAGATGCTCTGAAACGGAGATTTCAAGCGTCTATATTGGCATCGTAGATATCTTTATACATTTCGTGTGAACATGAAACACAATTTTTGCACTAACTAATGGAAATTTCTTAAATATTAATAGTTTATGAAATATTGGCAAAAAACTAAATTCCATTTTTTTAAACTCTTTAATTGTTTATAATATTTGCAATTTTTTATGTACTAATACACGCTTTTGGCACATTTTTCTAGGCGTCATTCCGGATCCAATGAGCTATCGCACATAATTTTAAGAGCAGTATCTTTATTTTGTACCATTTTCAACTTGTCGACTAGACTAATGGGTCGTCGACGATTCGAATCGCTCTTCGTTGAATACGAGCAAGTGGAAGGAGCTGGTACTGGGGAGCTCCCGCCCAGAGGTGAGAACGGTATTCGATGTGGGGCCGAATTTGCTCTTTATAGAGTTGCAAGTGGTAGCCCGGAGTGAAGTCTTGCAGAGCACACCAAGTTTCTTAGAGGCTAACTTAAGTGTGTTGCCGGACTTACGGAATAGGCCGGCAACGCACTTGCGAGCCTTCTGGCAATGTGAGTGTCCATGGGCGGCAGTTTCACTTAACATCAGATGAGCCCCGTGCCCATTTGCCTCCTGTTACATAAAAAAATAATAACAGTTTTAAGATTACTGAAAACAATTAGATTAGCATTTTTTTTTCATTTTTACGATCAACGGGTAATATAGCAATAAAAATATTATCATTGTATTGATTTCATTCTTAATTTATCTACATATTATTTTATATTAGGTACATATATATATAATTATAACTTTATTATAAAATTAATGTAACCTGGCTGGTTTGGATTTATTTTTCTCTCTCTTGTTATGTAGCGATCCATTTTTATAACAGTTGAATTTCTGTAGTTGTGAAAATTAGTAACAAAAATATGCTAGTATTTTTTAAAGGCAAGACTGATATTTTTACTTCTTGATCACAAATCGATTTTGGCGCCAATCGCTATCATCTACAGACTACAAATCACCTTAGACCTTTGATAAATACCATAGATTATGATTAGTACCGACCGAGTACTCGGCCAAGTGCGACCATGAGCTTGCCTATAAAAAGCGGCAATATTTTGCTGATAAACCAACGTTAGTTAGGTAACGTAGATACGCTGACATTTCTCAAAAATTATGTGTGAAAAGAAAATGAGAAAAAGCACAAAAAGCATTAATAAATATTAATTATTGTGTCAAATACACATTTAAATGTATTTTTCATTTATAGTTAAAATTACCTCTCCATCCGAATGTTCAATAAAAAAGTTAAGGGGTTTTTGTATATATTTAGGAATATTTGAAGTTGGTTCTAGGGAGAATAATTTTAATATGTATATTATACCTACCTAAGCTCCCATCGACGATCATACGATTACATTTTAGTTGTTAAAGGCAGCTTTATAGCGAAATGCTTTTGTTATTTTTTCCTATGCTCTATAATATATTATACAAGATTTGTTGTTACAAGTCATAAAGTATTATATTATTTCTCGCAATCTGTAAAATATATTTTTTTATTCATATGACATTTACTTATAAGTGATCTGTGATCATCTATGATTCATCACTATCAGTCTTCTGTGCATCTGTACTGTAAACAGAGTTTTCCTTCGTAATTCTTATCAGTTTTTCAGATTTAAGTACAGTTATTTCATATTTATTTACAGTTTTTTATTACGGGATAGCCAGGAGAAAAATTTAATATACACATTTCATTGTTAATGGTACATAAAATATGGAGCTGCAAGATACCTACTATAATAAATCTGAATACGTTGAAACTGTAAGTAAAAAAATATAACTAATTCATAAAGTACTATAAAATAAATTTTATAGTTGCAATTGTTCCAGTTAATTATACATGATGCTTTTACAGGCATCTGGAAACAAAGTAAGTCGACAAACTGTTCTTTGTGGCTCACAAAATATTGTCCTACATGGAAAAGTTATTGTACAAAGCGATGCAATAATACGTGGTGATTTAGCAAACGTAAAAACTGGAAGATTTTGTATTATAAGTAAGGGCTCTGTTCTTCGACCACCATTTAAGAAATTCAGTAAAGGGTTAGTACTAAAATATTACTTCGGACTTGTAGCATTTATGAATCAAAGTTTTAGTGATGTACTTCTGTATGTACTATTTATAAAGTATTGTATACATTCTGCTGCTAGAAAAGAGAGGTCATACGCTTATTTGTCTACACCACACCTTGCAATAATTTGTACTGCAACTTATTATAAATTTGTTTCATTGTTACTTAGATGTTTTTAATTACAAAAAAATACATTTGTTTTATTAGTTTAAAATTTGTTATATACCATATTTTATTTCAGAGTAGCTTTCTTCCCTTTACAAATGGGTGACCATGTTTTTGTTGGTGAAAATACAGTTGTCAATGCTGCTGTTGTTGGTTCTTATGTCTACATTGGTAAAAATGTGGTTATAGTAAGTAAATTTTATTATTATTTTTGATTATCCTTTAAGTTTTCATTCGTAACTACACTATTTAAAACAATACTAAATGTATTATGTTAGAAAGAAAACATTTTATTTCTAAGGAGATTTGACACAAACAACAAGTTATATCAGATAACTAAGTTTTAATTATACATTATTAAATAATTTAATAAAATTATATTTTCCAGGGTCGGAGATGTGTTCTAAAAGACTGTTGCATGATTGAAGACAACTCTGTATTGCCTGCTGAAACTGTAGTACCATCATTTGCAAGATATTCTGGTAGTCCAGCAAGATTAATAACTTCTTTACCTGAAGCTACACCAGATTTAATGACAGAGTTTACTAAGAGCTACTATCAGCACTTCTTACCTACAGCAACAGTATAATAATAAACTATTTCGAAGCCTCTTATTTATTTATGTAACATGAAAAATAAAATAATATGATTTGGGTCTTAACCCAGAATTTCAAATTTGTAACTATATTTGTTTCTTTCATTATGCATTAAAATCCTAAAACGACAATATTTATATGCTTGCAGTGATAACACAAAAAAATTAAATCTAAGCAGGAGGTTTCAGGTTTTAAGTCTTGAAATGCCAACATTTTAAAATAAGTATTAAAATTGAGCCATCACTGATATCTAATCATTGCAAGGTGCATCAGTATTACTATAAACTTGAAACTGAAATCAAACAGTATCAGTCTACCTAACTTTTTTTTTCTTATGGCATTTTTGAAGTTATACTTCTTTAGGCGCGTTATGAAAAATTGATGAGAGTGAAATTTTACGATGCGCGCGCACCGTGACACAAAATTATCAGTATAAAATTGCCCACTAACGAATTATTTTTAAACCAGCCGGGCGCCGAGCGTGCGCGAGCGAGATGGGAATAAGACAATCTACAAGTAAAAATGACCTTTGTAGTACCTTTTAAACAAATAAAGGAGTTTTAATTATTTTTTCAAAGAAACTTAGCAATGCTTCATAAAGACCTATTGTTACTTAGTTAAAAGGTTATTAAATTGATTGAATAATATTATAAAATTATAAATAATTATTATTATTAATTAATAATTGAATAATATACTAAATATTAAATATTATTAAATTACTAACGTTAAATATTAATTATTTAATATTTAAAAAAAAAAAGGGTGCGTGTACTTATGTACGCGCGTAAGAAGTTATACTTCTTTGGCTTTCTTTATTTTTGAAGTTATACTTCTTTAGGCGCGTTATTAAAAATTTATGAGAGTAAAATTTTACGATGCGCGCGCACCGTGACACAAAATTATCAGTATGAAGTTGCCCACGGAAGATGCTACGGCATTGCACATAATTTAAAAACAACATTTGAATAATAATAGTATTTATGTTACACTTAATGTAAGAGAATAATAATAAATATTTATTTATTTAATTTTTCAAATGTAAACTGAACTTTATTGACTATAATGACTCCTTTTCCAGTCTTTGAATATTTAATTGTAATTAATTATTTCCTTGCAATCAAAACCTATTTTTAATAATGCCAAAGAAGTATAACTTCTTACGCGCGTACATAAGTACACGCACCCTTTTTTATTATGATCCAAGATTTGGGCATGTTTTTTTGCATCTTTTTTTTATGTAATTTGCTTTGCAAAATCTCGGCTAAAGTTATTACAAGCGATTCAGCAATTTTTTCAACTAGAATTATGCTATTGTTTAATCTGTATTATTTACAAATTGTCAATGTCAAACGTGACAGCTTCGAACATAAATAAAGTGGCATTTGGCAATGTCGTTGACCCATCAAGAACAAAAAATTGATTGCGAATGCGATTCAGATTTTGGTTTGTTGTGTTTAATAATGTTTCAGTTTTTAATTTTTTTCTGAAGATCATAAAAAAATACGTCCAGAACACATGCCCGTTATCGTATTAGCTTCAATTTATTTAAAAATATATACAGGTCAGGTACCTGGGAGCAGGGAAATTAAAAAAAAATGGCATACCATTACTCCGACTTAGGTATGCCAGCAGAAATGAATGGTAAGTATAAAATTGCAGAATTATTTGCTTTCTCTTATAAATAGTAATGTTCGTCTATTAGTTAAGTATTAGATTCTAATGTTAATTATTGTAATATGCCTAAAAAACCTCTTTCGCCTTCATGGTATTTTTCTTCAAAAAGTGTTAGTAAACAAAACGATTGCTTACAAACCTTTTAACCGACACTCTGTAATGGTTTTAAATTTATACTATATGTAATATATTTAATAAATCATTAAAATAAGACATTAGTAACTTTACTAAAATAGTAAAAAATATATTTAGGGGAAAAAAGGCAGTAAGCCTTAATCATTCGCCTTTATTTTATATTTTATAGAATGATTTCACATGTATCATATCTAATATTATTGCAATTTTATCTCAGAACAATATATTGCGGACTATAAACCTTACATGGTTCAAAACCCAGACGCTGAATATGAAGTCAGGTCCACAGTACTTGATGATAGAGGAGAAGGAAGCATATCAGCTGTGACATTTGATAAATTTGAAGAGTTAATTTGGGTGGGAAACACAAGAGTAAGTTTATTATACTATTAAAATTATTTAGGCTGTTCAAATAAAATTGTTACTAACATCCAACTTTGAAACCAAATAAGAGATTAATTTATAGATTTGTGGCTCAATACAATTCTACGCAGCACCATTATCTTATAGAATAAAACATTAGATTGCAGTAATATGTCATGATATTATAAAAGAACAATAAATCAATATATGTAATAGCTTTGTATATGTATTAACTTAATTTATTTATATGGTGTTTAAAAACACAGCAATAATTTCCCTAATATAGAAGGAACATAAGCCTGATTACCTATTTAACCAAAAAGAAATCACTGAAACAGATACATAAACATATAATGCCTATTGATCCATTTGTCATTCCAGGGACATATTACTTCATACCATGGCCCACAAATGAGTAGATACACAGCTTTTAGGGTTCATATGACAGAAGAAATACGTGATATCATCACCCTTGATCAAGGACTATTTATTTTGTCAAAAACACAATTAAGGCATCAAATTCGAAGAGGTCTTGTGAAGCATACACACACGTAAGTTTTGTTTTTTTATTATCAAAGCTAATTATGGTAAAAGCCTGACAGCATCATGTCAAAATACTTTTCTATGCTTAATATTTGTAGTTTTTAAATCTATTCCTGAAAATTATTTTCAGGAAATCACACATTGAATAAATATTTTAATTATATATATATATATATATGTGAAAAGTTTTTTTGGGTTTATTGGTTTAATGTGATGTACTGCACTGCTGGCTTAAAATTGATAAATCTTGGAAATATTTATTATAGAATAAAATATAATAAATTATTATGCTGCTAGCAATTATTCATGCTTGGATAATATAATGGAGCAAAGCTACTCTAACCAAATGGCATAAACAACTTTGCACTTTGTGATACAGATGTTGAATGGTGATGCCATGTGTCCCTTTTCTATAATAACTTTAACATTCAGCATAATAGACATTTTTATATTTTAAATATCCAATTATTACAGATCAGAAAATTTAAAAGAGATGCAATGCCTTTTTCAATCAAGTCCAACAAATATTTTGATGGGCGGCCACCAGGACACAATTATTGATTTTGATGTCACAAATATGAAAGAATCTATCATTGTAAGTTACTTTACTTATTAAAATCTCTCATTTAGGTGTTATAAAAGTTATTTTACCAACAATTTCAAAAGCTATTTACTAACAAATACCAAAGTTTTGGATATTTTATAACATTACTATAAAACTAATGTGAGTTATTGGGTGAATGTTTATTATACGAGTAAATTATTTTTTAGCAGAATAAAGTTTTATTAGCAGTAATTCATATAAAACATCCCTCTTAAATTGTTATACAATACTTTGTACACAACTCAAGTGGCATGTGTGAAGACACAAAATGGTCACAGAATAGTCGAATGAATTTAATTCCGTCGTAGACTGATATAGATTGGAATATAATATATCTGTTTAATTAAGTATGATAATTAACACGTAAAAAGACAACGTGTGGCACTCGGGGACTGCCGCGGTTAAGCATAGCATTTTTTATCAACTTATGCAATTATAATTTTTTTATTACATTTAGTATTAAGCTATTGCATAGATTTTATCGCGGGCTTTGAGCGCGGCGACCGAATCAAGGAATTCCGTAACGAAAAAACCTTACGCGTTAGAGTGGGATAGAACCATACTGCGCATTCCCATCTCTCTGACGAGAACGGTGACGTAGCGTGAGCGGGGCCGGTGCAGCCGGTACGCCTTAGAGTGAGACAGACTATATAGGCGTCTTAGTATGAGTCTGGTAGAGTGGTAGATTGAAATAATATCAAAGAAAAAACTTGGATTAACATCAAAGAAAAACAAATACTGGATAAATAAAAAATAAATAAATAATTATAACTGCATAAGTTGATTAAAAAATGCTATGCAATAGCTTTACCGCGGCAGTCCCCGAGTGCCACACGTTTTTTTTTTCTTTGATATTAAGTCAAGTTTTTTCTTTGATATTAATTCAGTCTAACACTACCAGACTCAGGCTAACACACATATATAGTCTGTCTCACTCTAACGCGTACCGGCTGCACCGGCCGCGTTAACGCTACGACACCGATCTCGTCAGAGAGATGTGAATACGCAGTATGCGTTCTGTCCCACTCTAACGTACTTGCGCTACGTCACTGATCATGCCAGACCGATGTAAGACGCAGTATGCGTTCTGTCCCGCTCTAACGCGTATTGGACGCACGTAAATTCAGTCCCAGTTATACAGACGTAACACTGTAATAAATTACCACAGATAAAACACAAAATGTTCTTCATTATAGCCAATAACTGAAGATGGCTGTGCGGTGTTACGAAGTGGGGGTGGTTCGCTAGTTGCGTGTGGGAGTGCGAATGGGACTGTCTCGATGCGTGATATTAGAAGTCCGGTGGTGTCCGAACACACGTTCAAAGCGCACAGTGCCTGCCTGTCTGACTTGGATATGCAGGGTAACTTGCTTATCACATCTGGATTTGCACAAACGTAAGTTTTAATATTGATTTTTATGACAATTCGTAATACATATATGGACCTATTCCTTTTATGTTACGCACATTTTGGAAATTCTACCTAATAGATCATACTTTTGAGGTGAGTTTAGGATCTCCGCCATAAAGTTGTGGAATACGCTCTCAGATTCCATATGATAGCTACCTCTGAGTTCTTCTACATAAACCTTTTAACCATACCCTATCCTGCTCAATCGTGACTTTAGCAATTTATGCATTCTTGTTTTTTTTTGCATTTTGAATTGCGATCTATTAAAATTAAGATACGCTTTCAGTTTTATTTTTTTAATAATTGTATATTTTGTCGTTGTTACTTGTAAGTTTATTTTTGTTAATTTCGTAATGCACTTACTCTTAGTATTTTTGTTTTGTTACTAGGGTTGCCTGGAAGAGATTACCGGAATAATTTTATTTTTAATAAAATACTCTTTACAGAAGCACAATGGCCGTAGCCGAACAGTACGTTTTAGTGTGGGACGTACGTCAGTTAAAAGCAGGTGGGGCGTGGTCACTTCCGGTGGCATCTCCGCCTTTATTACTCCACTTCCTGCCATCGGTTTCCGGTCGAGCGCTCGCAATGGCCAGTGCTGGACACGTGGCATTGCTCAATGTTAACAATAAAAGTGAATCTGGAAAGCAATCTGTTTTTCAAGTAAGATATTTATCATGCAGAGTCAAATTAATTAGGTAATAATGTATCTATGGTTAACGCTTTGAAATGAAATTAAAGGATTTAAAAGTGAATTTATTAATCAACGTATCTTTCCTGAAATATTGGTCAGTGATGTACCCACCTAGATGTGCAGGCGCTTCTCATATTATAATAAAATAAACACATATTTAGCTGGTTATATTCTTCTATACCTAGGTAACACTGAAAATGTTTAGAAAATGAAAAACGGCTTAATGTAGAAAGTTGCCAATATTTTTATTGTTTTTCGAAGTAATCTCCGTTCCTCTCTACACATCGTCGTATTCGATGGAAACTAACTCGTTAAACCAATTGTAAAAAACCCAGCGAAATCGAAGCGAATACTTTGTGACTCATTGTTGGATGCCCATATCCTAATCAGCTGGAAAACCAATTACAGGTTGATACCCAAGGCTCTCTATGCACTGTCATGGACGTCTCAAGCACCAGCCAAGCATTCGTCTTCGGAGATCAATCGGGACACGTGCATCTGTTCTCTTCTAAGCATAATAATGAACCTGTGTTCAATAACTTCTCAAGGTGAGTCTTAGGTAAAAATTTCCAAAATCTTCAAGACAAGACAATTTAAAAATAAATAAAAAATACTTTTAGCTTTTGTTGACGTCATTAGAGTGAAATTTATTAATAATTGATTCTTATTTCTAAGTACAATTTTAGTTTAATTGTAATTTGTTATTGTAAATGTTTCTCTTTTTCACGATATTTACAATGTAAATTAATTTGATGGTGATAAAATTATAAAAAAAATCTGTTAAGAAATTTCTTTGTTTTATTTCTTATACAGATTAAAAAACTGTATTTAAAATAAATCAGTGGCGCTACAACCTCTTTAGGCCTTGGCCTCAGATTCTGTTTCATGATCATTTTCAAATCTAATAGCCAGTAGGTGATCAGGCTCCAGTGCCTGACACACGCCGTCGACTTTTTGGGTCTAAGACATGTCGGTTTCCTCACGATGTTTTCCTTTACCGTTCGAGGAAATGTTAAATGCGCACATAGAAAAAAAGTCCATTGGTGCACAGCCGGGTATCGAATCTACGACCTCAGGTTTGAGAGTCGCACGCTGAAGCCACTAGGCCAACACTGCTATAAAAAAATATATTTATACCATTAAAATATTAATTATATGATATATAGCTAGCCCCGGACTTTAGTTCTTATTTTCAATTCTTGGCAATAGTCTTTATAGCTTTAATATAAGGTCTATTTTCCAATACCATCAAACAAAAAATACGATTTTTTCACCAGAGAAACAACATTTGCAACCCCAGTTCGTTTGCCGTACGTGGGTTTCAGTGAGACGTTCAGTTTCTCATCAATACCTCTGCCGCCTCTCGCAAGTGGCTCCAAGTGGTTCCACGACCTGCCCGAAGAGTTCCTCAAAAAGGTTTCCAGGTGAATAGCAATTTTAATTTATAAACGCACCATTCGGAGGAGGCCTTATCTTTTTATCTTTTTAGTTTTAGATATTATTAATTTTTTGTTATTATTATTCTTTTTTTTTGTGGTTGTTTGTTGAATTTTTTCCTTTGATAGTTTTCTTATGTTCTAATGTAATTGATGTGTATGTGTGTTAAATTTGTGATGTCATATTTTCTTGTATTTTTTAGGTATACACAAAATAAATTCTAAACGATTGTAACGAATTCCTGTCTTTTAGCAGGGGTGTGAGAGAGGCGCATATATGTTTATCGTGTTATTGTTGTCCTTTTCCACTCCTAGCGCTAACCGCTGGAGGGTTATATTGTGCCCCATTTCAAATCTCAGATTACCAGAGAGTTAGGCTCTTGAATTACTTAAGGCAATTTACTCGTTTTGTTCAGGGTTCGAAGCTTCTTAAGCTGAAAATACCCGCGAAGTGAGAATCAGAAACGAGTTCGTCAAAATCCAATTAATTTTTGACGTAGGAAAGTCAGCTTAGCGCCTTGTTTCTTGTTACTCTAACATTTCTTGCTGTTTTGTCTTAACATAATCTGTGGTTGTGGCGATTTTTTTTTATCTTTGATAATTTCAACGTTATTTAAGCAATTCGTTGTATTTTTTTCAGGAAACCTCGACCAATTGATCCAGAAATTCTTAAGACCATGAAAATGAAAGGACCCATCGGGTATGCTCCCAATCCTGGTACGAGGAGACGTAATGAGGTAAAAATAATTAGGGCGTAGGGCCGCAATTTATTACGTAAGGGCATTTTTACTGCAATTTATCCCCCCCCTCCTCTTGTCAACAAAAGTAAGCAAAGCCCTCAAAAATAATAGTACATAAACGTATACATTTTTTGTAGGAATCCTCGAAAATGCATTTCGTTTTCAAGCATAGACAATCTGGGTAAAAAAAAACTAATAAATATAATTACTTTATGTATGAACAATGTTTCGTTTCAGTATCCATACATAGATGACAATCTGGAAGATATCAAACAACCAAAACCAATAGACGATTCGACGCTCTCTATAAGACCAATTCCAAGTTCATATCAGAAGGTAATATACACATTACACAGATTTTCATGCGGTTTTCGATTGAGGAAGGTTAGGTTATAATTTGTCAATGTTATTTTTTTATTAAGTAATAGGAGACAAATGGGCAGGACGCTCACCTGATGTTAAGTGATATCGCCGCTCATGGACACACACGAAGGCTCGCAAGTGCGTTGCCGGCCTTTTAAGTCAGGCCATAGTGCTGGTGGTGTTAGGCTCGGTTTAATTAAATTTCATAATTAAAACAAAATGTTATTTTAAATTAAAGTAATATTAGTCTAGGAAAATTGGGGTACAGTGTAAAAAACGGCAACGCACTCGCGAGCCCTATGGAATTGAGAGTGTCCATGTTTCACTTAACATCAGATGAGACTCCTGCTCTTTTGCCCCCTTTAAAAAAATTGAGGTGTTCATCCTTTTGAGTCAAGTTATTTAGGATACCCATTAAGCTGTGGAATACGCTCCCAGATTACATATGATTTCTACCTCTTCCTCTTTACATAAAAATTTTAAACATATTATCCTATCCAATTATCCATCTATTCAATTGTTACTTTTCTTAATAAGACATTTTTTGTTATGAATTATTTTTCTGACTATTAAAATTACTTTGTAGTTTTGTTTATTTGGTCTACGGGAGCGTTCAAGTATTACGTAACGAATTTTGGGGGGGGGTCCTTTTGTAAAACGTTACGATGCGGGGCGGGGATTGAAATTCGCGTTATTGTTAACATTATTTCCGACTTTCCAGTACTTTACACCACATAATGGTAACTTTTAGGTATAAAGAGTCGCTGGGTGGTCACGAAACGTATTTTTATTGGGTACAGTAAAACGTAACGGTGCGTAACATAATGGGGGGGGGGTCAATAATCTCTACAAACACTATTATATTTTTTTTGGGTTAGTATTTCCTTTTTCTTTGTCCTTGCTAAGGTTAGAGAGATCTCTTGTTGGGAATAAGGCCGTCTCTCTTGCCAATTACATTGACAAATGATCATGAAACAGATTCAGAAATCTGAAGCCTAAAAAGGTTGTAGCGCCACTGATAAAAAATGCAACTGTGCTAATTGATAAACATCTTATTTCAGGTCGAAGTAAGGTATAATAAAAATGAGCCGAACGCAATTTTGGACAACATAAATAGAACAGGCCTACCGGGAATCGAAGCTACGTTGCCCAATTCTTACTGTAATTCGATGATTCAGGTAAAGTATTTTTATATCACCATAGTTAATACTCTTACCACGCCTTAATAGTGGCCATTATTATTTTTTTTTATTATAATAATTAAATGCTTTCTCCTGAGATGATGAGGCATAGTTGCAGGTGCGTTCTAATAACGTGCTAACAAACTTTATGCAAAAATATTGGCGTTTTGACTCGACCAGGATTTGAGAACTTGCCATAATTTACACCAGGAATTTTGTTACTGCCGTTCATATTTTTTTATATCAGGCAGTTAAGGAGGCGGACTTAATGTAAAGTGATACTGCCGCCCATGGACAACCGGCAAACACTTAAAACCTTTAAAAATGTATTTTATTTTGAATTTATTGCTTTTGTGAGTGCATTTAATAAATAAATATTTGACGTGACAGCGTCCAATAAATCGATGAACGCCGGCCGACAAAAAGCATGAATCATTGTTCCGTTACGCTCATTGTACGCTTGCGCCGTATCTCTCTTCCACTCGATTGGAGTCGTATAGGGTCCGAGGACTCACTCTGTCTGAGTATCCATACAAAATAGTGATAATTAAATAAAAAAAATTCAATTTTATTCATAAAAGTATGCAATCATTTCATCAATTTTTTGTTGTGTCGTCCCCGTAAGCCGACTTAAAAGACAACTTCATTTTATTCATATAAACGCCTAAAATTTGCAGACTTATTTTGGGTATAATAGTTCGATTTTTCTGTTTGCTTACCTGAATTACGTCTGACCGTCTTTAATAAACATTACTAGTTGATACACGCATTTGCCTCACAGAGCCTTGTTCGCTCGAATCACGTATATGCATCAAACCTTTCTATGTGACTGTACCTAAGTACGCGGCGTCAGTCACAGATGACTTATTGACTATTCAAAAATAATAATTATGATACATAACATTATTTGGGTCGTATTTTTAACATAGGACCCTTAATAGACTATCAAGTACGCTAAGCAACAGGGGAGTGTCGATTCTCCCCTCATTCTCCCCTTTCCTAAAAAGGGACTGTATTTACTGCTGGTGGGTCTGGTAGGCTTGGCGTCTCCTGCCCGTATTGGAACACTTAAACTTAAATCAATCCTGCTATGCATATATCAGCGTTCAAGATCGCTCACATGACATTGTTATAAGGTTTTGATATTTTTTTTTCCCAGGTCCTGTACAACATGCCGCCTCTGAAGTCGACCCTGATAGCTCACACGTGTGCGAAGGAGTTTTGTCTCACTTGCGAATTAGGTGTGTTGTTTAGTTTATTTTTGATTTGCGTAGCCATTTATAAACGTTGTCGGGTATTGGGAATTGACCTGGACGAGAGACGAACTTGAACGCCAGTTTTGTATTTTACTGGGCATATTTTTGTTTGTTTGTTTATCGACGAATTTGGTTGAGTTTTATCGCTTACGATTTGCTTGCTTTACGATAAGGAAAATGCCCATTTGCGTCTACAGTTTGTTTTATCCAATACATAATATTTTGTGTATAGTATAAGAAATATTCTAATATTCATTCAATGATATGTAGATGTATATGTATTCAACATAATGTATTGAACTATTGACATGTATAGCCAAATAATTTGTTGCAAAGATTACAAATATACCATAAATAGAAAACATGTTTTTTATTTCGAGTAATTTGACCCCAAATACCTGAAATACTGCAAAACCCACGTTTATGGCATTATTAGCATTTGGGCATCGTCCTTCGAGTGGTTGTGGTATTTGGACTTATGGTTTACCAGACCTTTCTAGTGCCATCGTTTCCAGGTTTCCTATTCAGGATGCTTGACACCTCTGGAGGGGCGCCGTGTCAGGCGACTAACTTCTTAAGGGCGTTTCGTACCGTGCCTGAAGCTGCCGCGCTCGGACTGATATTGCCCGATCAGGGCATTGATAGAAAGATTGATCTCGTTGCCCTTATTCAGGTAATCGCATGGGGCTGTAAATAACGCTTGAGCCTGACCTACAATAAGTGAGGTTCTTTCTTCTCCAATACCAAGGGAAATAACTTTACACCCTTAATGTCAAATTTCACCTCTTGTCCAGCAAGTTGTCAGTGTATTGCATTTTCTTAATGTGAGACTGCATTTGTTTCGATAAATTGAAAGGTCCAAACGCATGTTAATTTTTTGGTTGAGGTTAACACAAAATTTTGGAGGTAAGTAATGCATTGAACGGTAAGAAACGATCTAACCATTTATCACTTTCGGCTTAATACAAAAGTCGTATAGGATAACTTCACAATATTTTATTCTAGAGCTGGAATAGATTTATTCTTCACCAAATCCATTATGAGCTTTTGGAGACTCGCAAAAAGGAGAAAGAGCTGGCGCTCCTCTCAGAAAATACCCCACATAAGGCAGTCCGATTAAAAAACCACTTAAAAAACCAATAAATGGTCAAGTTGAGGGCTACAAATACACTGAACTCGAGTTTCTCAACCTTGGTCCTTCGGAGACGGAACACGAACTACATAATGGTATAGACGAAAATTGGAAACATAATGGGGTAGATAAAGGTAATCTCAATGACCGTATACTAATTTAAATTAAGATATATATGTACGGGCAGATTTGAATCCTACTGAGCTGGTTTTAAGGCAGTTTTTGCCGCGCTATTTGGAAATGGGTCAGTGTAGTATTTTCCACTTCAACATAGGGTCTTTCAAGAAAAGAGCTTACCCATTATTAAAAGATCGGCTACGCACTCGCCAACCCCCAGAGGGTTGAGAGTGTCCATTTTATCACCTAACATCAGGTGAGCCTCTTGCCCGTTTGCCCTCTGTTAATCTAATATATAAAATTCTCGTGTCACAATGTTCGTTCACATACTGCTCCGAAACGGTTTACCGATTCTTATGAAATTTTTATGCATATTCAGTTATTCTGAGAATCGGCTTCTATCTGTCTTTCAAACCCCTAAGTGATAAGGGGTGTCCACCCCAATTTTTTTTTATTAGTTTGTTTTAATTTTTTTATGATACGGCATACAATTTTACCTATTTTTCTCCCCTTTACGATCAACCCCTATTTTTATTATTGTAGATAGTTATTTTTATTGAACTAAAAAAATGTTACCTAGAAATAATATACATGGCAAAACAAACGTTTGCCGGTTTAGTTTCTAAAAATAACTTAGACTACCAAAAATTTAATTTGAAAATTGGTTTAAATAAAGTTAAATCTTAAGTTTTTTTTTAAAATATAGCAATGATGAGTCACACGGAGAAACTTCAAAGTAATATAGACAAAGAGCTATCCAATGACCACAGTGAGAGAGAGGAGTCCGAAATCTCAGAATTATTTGCGATTGCCCGACAGCAGTTGAATAGGTGTCTTAAGTGTAATAAGGAAGTAAGTATTTTTCATTTCATATTAGATTTTCAGAAGATAACAATTTTTCTAGTAAGTTTATTTCCTAGTAAATTTTCATCATCATTATATTCCTATTGTGTCGTCCACACCGAAAACTTTTTTATTATCTCGGGAAACGTCTAAGCAGCATTACAATTCATCATTCTTATACGATGGTAATAATTTTCTTTATTTGTATTTTGACGTGTTTGAATTTCTAATTATTTTTCTTTATTCGTATTTTCTCGTGTTTAAATATCTAATTATTTTTCTTTATTTGTATTTTCTAGTGTTTGAATTTTTTATTATTTTCTTTGTTCGTATTTTCTGGTGTTTAAATATCTAATAATTTTTATTTATTAGTATTTTGTCGTGTTTTGATTTTTAATTATTTTTCTTTATTCGTATCTCCTTGTGTTTATATTTCTAATTTATTTTTCTTTATTCATATCTTCTCGTGTTTGCATTCCTAATTATTTTTCTCCATATATTTTGGCCTTAGATTTTAGCTCTCTTTACGTTCATGATGAGGCTTTTGTGTCCGACTCATGTTGTCTATTTTAAGGTCAAGTAACTTCACGATATTTTCTGTCATCGCAAGTATTAATTGCGTACATACTTGAAAACACTCGACCGGGCACACACGCCCTGTTCGAACCTGGCGTTTAGTACTACCAGCCTATTTCACTTCGAGTTGGAAACCATACCAGATATTTTTAAAATATTTCAGGAAGAACGCGAATCAGTGGTGCTGGCTTGTGCCCTCCAATATGCGACGAGAGACACCGAGCGCACGTGCGGTTTTTTGGAACTCGTACGCGCGTCGTTATGTGCACGTCGTTCTACGCCCGCCTGGTGCGAGCGATGCGCGAAGTTTACGCCCACCACACAGCGCGGGCGGCTGGTTAGGCAAGTAATTATTAAGTTAACTAAAATAAATACAATTAAAATCTTCACTTTAATATTTGTCATAACAATAATTCTATTAGTTGTAGATAGATTTATTTGTGGATATAATAAATAACTTGTAAAGCTTAGGTTTCACAGAAAAGCGGTGCCGTTATTTAACAGCCGAAATGTAGCGTTGGGTGACGTCCCCCATACGTTGTGTATAAATAACATCGGAGTAGGTTTCCTAGATAACGTTGAGTGTCACCGTAACGTCAAATAGCGGTACTGTCATGTGCATGACGGCCGTCATAGCGGTGATAATTATTAGTTCAACGTTTTTCGCGTGTAGCGGTGCCCTATTTAATTAATACAATGAGTGGAAACGTGACTTGGACGAGCGAAAATGATGCTTTTTTTGCATTATGTTAAAAAGTAAAGACGGTCGTTATTAACAACCGTAAAATGACGGCCGTTAGTTAGCGGCACCGCTTTTCTAGGAAACCTAAGCTTAATCGATCTTAAGTACTCTAGTCTCTGTCTGGCTAACGGTGTTTACGCTGCGAGGAAAAGAGATAGACGAGTACTTAAAAATGTTTGTTAGTTACAGTTATAGGTCGGTTATCGAAAGCTGGCGGGTTCGCAGTACTCACACTAATGCAATTTCACATACAGTATGTTTCAAAATATGATTTTTTTGCCAAGCTATATATTTTAGTCTACTCTGGTTTTAGTAAGGTTGGGTGGGTTGTAAATAAATAAAAATGTGTCAAATACATATAAATATTAGGTGCATACGAGGGTGGATCCAAAAGTTCTAAGCCAGACCAAGAACGTGAAAGAGTAGTTCCTGTAAATAATTTTTCATTTTTCGACATACGCTCAATCTAGCCATGACTTTGTTGGTCGACAAAACGACCTTAGCCGTTTTCGGAGTAGGTGATCCAGATATTTTCCATTGTTTGGACTGTTGCTTTGATTCAGGAGTATGGTGGTGAACCCAGCTTTCAACAAATCAAAAAAAAAATCAAATCAGCTTTCAGCTTTCTGCATCTGATGTCAAATGAAATATAACATTTTTTTCATTAAACTGTTTTTATTAAGATGCTTAAAATAATTAAAAACATTGTGCACCATTTCACGAGATTGCCCTGGTAATGTTTGAAAAAAGATCAACATGTATAGTAAAGATCAACATAAACAGTAGCAAAAGCAAAACAATAACTGTCTCTTTTATACTCATAAGCTTGACCGAGCGCGAGAGAGACGGACAGTCTTTTCATGATGTATTTGTGATTGTATTTCAGTTTGACATCACGCCTCGCGCTTATTTACAGACACTACACAAGCACAAAGTGTAAATGTGTTGAAGCCGCCAGCTTTAAATAACATACCTATAAAATAAATGTATCGTTAATTTCTTAGGTTACCTCCAATATTGGCGATCAACTGTGGAGCAGTGACAGCCGAAGAGAAATTGTTCTGGGCGAAAGGGACTACTAAAGAAACGGTAATTTTATGTACAGGTAATAAATAATAATTCTAGTTCTCAGCCAGTTCTATATAAGCGCTTTAGTAGAGACTATACAAAATGTTTGTCCTTTATGGGTTTGGAGACCATAGAAGTCTAAGGGATATATTCTAAAACATATCTTAAGCCACAATCTTGTCTTGAGCGTTGTCAAATGTTTCCAACACAGTTAGAAATAATTGCTCCTGAAACTAAAGGGTCTTTCATTAAGGGCTTCCTATCTTCAAATTTAAATAAAACAAAATTTGTGTTAGATATCATCAACAATTTTTATTGGTTTGAAAGGCCTATCGATGCCATTATGTGTGGAATATAACATCGTTCAAATGTCCCGCCCCGGCTTCCTCTGGGTGGCGCGCATCCGAAATGTCCAATTTTCCATGACGCTGGTGCATAAATCAGGCTGAATTTGACCGATGGCATGGGTTATGTTGGCTTTGAGGGCCGCTGGGGGTGTTGTGGCTTAATTTTGTACGGGTGCAGGCCCAAGTCACGACTCAAAATTCGCCAAGTGGTGTGGAAACGCCGAGTTTTGTGAGCGACGCGAAATCGACTGCCTCGGATTCTCTGCATGCTCTCACGGACAGCGGCGATGTTTTCGGTAGATCTTGCGTTTCGTCGACGTACGGGTGTTGGTTGATCGTTTACTGAAAGTGGACTCAAATTTATCCACCACACTGCGAAAGTCCTCTCGGTAGGACGATTATGGGCCCGTAAAATGGGCGAAGCGCGGAACGTTGCCCGAATAGAACACCCATTTTGATAAAACAATTTTATCATTTGCACGTGTGTTGAACGCTATATCCATATGGTGATTTGGCAAAACAGACTGAAAAAACCAATTTGAAGATGTAGCTTCAAGAAGATCCTAGCCGTTATCAACTGTAAAGTTGAAGTCCCTATTGAAGACCCTTTATATTTAAGTGTAAGACGTACTACTAATAATACGAAAACTAACGAACATTCATCTTAAAGTATATTTTAACTGTCTCTTTTCATCGCGGCGTACACCATATGATAGAAAGAGACAAACACTTTCATAATTGTTCCAGAAACTAGATTTAAGTGTCCGAATAATACGACAATCTAACGAACTTTAATTTATAAATAATTATGTTTGGCCAATTGCAGCCTGAGGCCATAAAACGCAACGGGAATGTCAAGCCATGTAGGTATGGGCTGCACTGCGCAAGACCTGGCTGCAGATTTAAGCATCCAGATAGGTGAGTTTACTTTTTTTGAAGTTGTACTTCTTTAGGCGCGTTAAGAAAATGATTTATGTGAGTGAAATTTTACGATGCGACGTGCCGCACCGTACACAAAATTAACAGAATGAAGTTGCGCCACGGAAGATGCACGGCATTGGACATAATTTTAAAACAACATTCGAATAATAATGAATTTATGTTACACTTAATTAAAGAATAATAATAAATATTTGTTTATTTAATTTTTTCAAATGTAAACTGAACTTTATTGACTAAATGACTTATTTGCCAGTCTTATTTAATTGTAGTTAATTATTTGCATGCAATCAAAAACTATTTTAATAATGCAAAGATATAACTTCTTAGGCGACATAAGTGAGCACTTTTTTTTTGTTACCCCGATCTTCTAACATGGCCTTCCATTTTAGTTTTAAAATATCTATTTGAAAGTGGATTTCGTTGGCGAAGTAACTAATTAATTTATACTTGAAAAAAATATAGTTTTGATTTAGTAAGCAAGTGCCTAGTAGTAGATCATAATATTTTACGCTTAGTTATGGAACCATTAGATATTTACTGTCTCGATGCCCGATGATGAAACTCTGCTTCAGGTATTAATCCGAACAAACAAACAAACTGGGCTGCCGCTTCGTTATCCGATTGTCTATAATACTTGTCGTTGTATTTTAAGTTTAAGTAATGAAATACAGTGTAAACTCTATATTATAATGTCCCTCAATTTAACTACGAACTCCCTAAAGCGTCGAAATCAATCGGCTTTGGTTGGTTTAGCTTGTCTTCCATACATACACTCTATATAGGGAACGTAACGCAATTTTTGGAGATTATTGACACTAGTCAGTATTTAATTACTAACACTAGTCTGAAATAATCTTTATTTTTCTAATACAGATTTTTCTTCTCTTCATTTAACGACAACTCTCTATAACGCCATAAAAACACAGTCCCTTCAATGTCGTTATATAGAGTTTATACTGTATATTCCAGGCCGAGCCCGTCCCAGAGTAATCCAGTGAAGAGCGACTCGCAAGATGTGAGCTGTGTGATTCCACACCAGCTGCACATTCGTCTCCAGTCCGATGGGGACATCACTATTAGTGATAAGGTATGGTTTTGTGCTACTAGACATTATTATTACGGGTCGTAGAGCAATATACATGTAACTATTCAGTCAATGTGTACTTGCCAGCAAAATTACGTTATTTTCACAACATCTGGATTCTAGACAAAATTGTATTGTCTTTTATTGACATAACTTTTAGACATAGAAAAACACTTTTTAACGGATTTGAAGTTTCGCGTGCTTTACAGCGTGCGTGGTCACGGTGACTGAAGACACGTCGGTTAAATTTAAAATTATGTAAAATAATTGTAAATCTACAATAAAATTCTTCTAAAACAGGGGGGGGGGGGGGGGCGGGGAAGGGTTTAACTTCACAAATCAAGATGGCACTGCAGTCGGTACTTTCAAACTGCGAAATCAAAAAACGCTTTAAAAAATAATCAGGACAACGTCTGTGGGGTCCACTAGTTTACAATAAAACATAACTTCAAATCCGTTAAAAAGTGTTGTTCTATTGTAGACAAAATGTTCACTGTGAGGACCGGAATTTTTTTGGCCCTAAATTATTTTCAAAATATAATGAAAAAATTCAGTCTGTTTTTTAATCAATAATTTATTGTGAAACCAAGTAGATTCTTTCAGTATTTAGCTAAATATATATATTATATATATATAATAAATAGAAAAATAAATACAGATCAATTCTTTCTATAAATATTTAACATTGTCGCCCGTATTTAATCCCGAGGTTTAAAATCAGCAGAATTTTCTAAATTCCTTCTGCAAAAACCAACATAGGAGTTAAGGCACCTCTTAGAGTACTAAAAATCTCTTACTAAAAATAACAAAACCGTAATTTTTAAAACGCTAAGTTTTATCATAAAAGGACATCATGATTTCTCTTTTCAGGCGGAACAGGTAGACAAGCACAAAAAGAAGCCGAAATCCGAAGCGGAATATGCGTTGACAGCGGCCGTTGTGTGCGTCGAAGACAGTCCCAGGAACCTCGTGGCGTATATCAGGATCGCTGATAAGGAAGACGCGCATTGGTACCTTTATAATGATTTGGGGTTAGTACATACTGATCGGATTGATAATAATTGCAATCGAAACAGCAGGCTTACCCTTTAAAAGTGCAGAAAAGTTTAACTCAATGTTCTAGCCAATTATAAGGTAATTAGAAATCGGTAGTAGTCTGCTGCTAGCTTCTTGGAGATTATCATACATAAAATATTGTTATTGATTTCATTAGTTAATTTTCGATGAACTATTGCCGAAGTGATTCGACTTAGTCTTTCAAGAAAAGAGCGTACGATTTTTAAAAGGCCAGTAACACGCTCGCGAGCCCTCTGTCATTTAGAGTGTTCATTAAACCCATTTGACTTAGGGCTCTTCAAGAAAAGAGCGTAAGAAATTTTTAAAGGCCGGCAACGCACTCGCTAAACCTTTGCCATTGTGTTTTCATATTTCTTACCATCTGGTGAGCCCCCCGCCCGTTTGTGCCCTGTACTATACAAAATTGCTTATTCCTTATTTTTTTCTCATAAAAGTATAATTTTCAAATTAGTTTTCATATATTGACGACCACACTCTTACGTCATTCAGTCGGTATATTCTTGACAATATGAAAACATTAAATATAATTAACTCATACAAAACCCATTATCATTTCAGGATTGTGTCTGTGAATGAAGAGGAGGTCTCCCAATTCAGTCCTTGGTGGAAATCACCTTGCGTACTCTTTTACACTAGTCCCAGAGCACTGCACGCTAAAGATGTCGCTAGTGTCTCCTAGCGTAGCTGTTACGGCCCGTTTGCGTATTGGTAAGTTCTCTTAACTGTTCATTTGCGTATTGGTAAGTTCTCTTAACTGTTCATTTGCGTATTGGTAAGTTCTCTTAACTGTTCATTTGCGTATTGGTAAGTGCTCTTAACTGTTCATTTGCTTATTTGTCAGTTCTCTTAACTGTTAATTTGCTCATTCATAAGTTCTCTTAACTGTTAATTTGCTAATTCATAAGTTCTCTTAACTGTTAATTTGCTCATTCATAAGTTCTCTTAACTGTTAATTTGCTCATAAGTAAGTTCTCTTAACTGTTCATTTGCATAAGTAAGTCCTATTTTCACGTAATAAATTTTACCGGTCGATACGTACTTCTTTTTAAAATAAATACCATAACATTTAAAATGTAATAGAATTATATTTCACCTAGGAAGTTATTATTTAAAATATAATACACGAATAAGAATAATGTTTATTCATAAAAAGGTTTAAAAATGAATGGCATAATAAGTGCAATATTCGAGTATTTTTTTAAATTTATCTCTTGAACTCAGGAAAATATTGGAAAAACCTAAACACCAGTTTTATTTAAGCGAAACGAAGTTCGCAGGAGCAGCCAGTAATAATATAAATTGTTTTTTTTTAGCAACGGTCCACACGACGAAGATGTTAAATTTATGCGATGATTTCCAATACTTTTTACATACAATTCAAAACTGTATTTTATCGAACAATATTTTAACGATTAAACGGTTTTTATATCCAATTCCGCGAGAACATATTTTTAAATCATAATTGTTGTAAAATATCGTTATTGATAGAAAACGCACCTCAATTGGAACCTACGGCTCGTGGGATTAACGACTCGAAATTTGGATATAAAAACCCTAAATGCCTTAACGAAATTGAATTGTCATGCCTTGGGTTCGTATATACCACGTAAGTACAACAGTATTTAATCGTTGGTCCGAATCGGTATTTTTAATACACTCCAATATTTTATAAGTAGGTTAAGTAGCGTAGATATTTTTTTAGGTGCAAAGTTCCATAGTAGGCACAATTATAGAAAAGCTAGCTTACATTTCTTTATAATGTACTTAAAGGCCGATTTACTGATGAAAATTAATCTAAAATGGCGTTAGAAATTACGTAAAAATGTGTTAAAAAATTACCAAGAATTAGGGTTTTACATATAATTTTTTTTTCCAATATTTTTGTTAAACACGTTACGTTATATTTTTTTTTTTTAAGACAATTTACACCAATTGACCTAGTCCCATGCTAAGCTGGTGAAGCTTGTGTTATGGGTACTAGGCAACGGATATACAAACATATTATAGATAGATAGACATATAAATACGTAATATTTAAACACCCAAGACCTAAGCACAACACCAAATGCTCATCACATCGATGTTCGTCTCAGCCGGGGATCGAACCCGGGACCCATGGATTCGCAGTCAGGGGTACTAACCACTAGACCAATGAGTCGTCAAATAATTTGCAAAAAATATTTTGCAAAAAAAACACTAAAGCGATTGTAAAGTAACCAACACATCAAATGAATTATTTCATGAATGTTAAAAATAGTTGTTGAAGTGAAACTTCTTTAGGCGCATGAGGGTTTTTTCTACGGATACGTCACGAAGATGTGCAGCGATTTTGTCGAAGAAAAGGGAAAGAGCGAATGAGACCGATTGAGAGAGAGTGAATTAGAAATAGAATTACGTAATAAAAATTCTATTTTTAAAATTAAAATTTTGTAAAGAAAATTTATGCAAATGCCTCGTGTTTTTATTGTCGAAGAAATAAATTTATTATTTGTATTAATTTTCGACATTTTTATATTTTAATGACAATTAAATTCAATAAATTCCTAACATATATTCCTTTTTCCCTCCCTCTAAGTCTCGGAAATCTAAAGTTTTAGATATGTATAAATTTAATAAAACACTATTTTGACCGGATTGAAGTTATGTATTATTATAAATTTACAACTATTTAACATAATTTTAAATTTATCCGACGTTTCGCGTGCTTTACAGCGTGCGTGGTCACGGTGACCACGCTGTAAAGCACGCGAAACGTCGGATAAATTTAAAATTATGTTAAATAGTTGTAAATTTATAATAATACATAACTTCAATCCGGTCAAAATAGTGTTTTATTAAATGAATAAAAGTTATGTTAACCAAAGACAATACTATATGTATAAATTATTAAGTATTAGATTTGTATAAGTATTAAATATGAATAAGACTTAAAAATTATTTTTCAAAAGAAGTTTCACTTCTGACATATGTACTTTGTACGCGCGCACTTTCTTTTAATAAATCCTTATTATAAACACCGTGGTACCGTTACACCACTAAAAATGGTTACATCGTTACAAATCATGTTTTACAATAGCTATTTAACAAATACGTGTTAGTAAAGATAAGATATCGTAACAGAGGTATTCTAAAACCCCACACACACAAAGATTGTTATCAATTTGTGTGTTGCTTTTTCTGTCTAAGATAAATTTTAATTTTCGTCTTCCGGTATGGTCGCTACTCCGTAATGTCGCCATTTTAGATTCGTTTTCATATAGAAGTGACTATCAAAAACCAAATAATTATTTGTTTTTTTTTATCACATTGTGTTCACACAGAGATGAAGACTGTAATAAATATTTTTTTAATAATTGAAAGAAAAATTGTGTTCCGCAATGTTCGTTTGGTTCAATGGTTCATTTTTAAGTCAGAACTAAAATCTAAGTTTTAATTAGCGAACAAGCTATGAAATTTTTAGTTCTAATTTGTATATATGTTGATACATCTTTATATAAATATGTGTGTTTGTAATAAGGGAGCGTTCAAGTATTACGTAACAAATTTTGGGGGTCGTTTTGTAAAACGTTACGATGCAAGGCGGGGATTGAATTACGCGTTATTGTTAATATTATTTTCGATTTTCGAGTACTTTACACCATATAATGGTAACTTAAAATAAACTTTTAATAACTTTTTTGAATAAAGAGTCTCTAGGTGGTCACGAAACGTTTTATTATACTTGGGTACAGTACTATACTTGAGTACATAAAAACGTTACGGCGCGTTACATGAGCGATACTCCAAAAATTGCGAGACGTAATACTTGAACGCGCCCTTAAACTCTTCCTAAATGTCTGGACCGGTTTGATGACATTTTTGTATTTGTGTTAGTTTTTTTTTTGTATTTAAGACGTGTACAGGTCGTGTGTTAGGTTCGCTAGAATTGTATATTTTGGTCCGTAGTTGGTCTTTTACTGAAAAAGCGTTTATTTATATTTTTTTAATTTCTGCACTGAAGTTTGCAGTCACGATGACTCGACGAAAGAGTTATATAAGAAAAGTTTGAATCTGGTTTAAGATTTAAGTAGTTAAGTGAATCGGTCTTATAATTCTTCCAAAATAACGCTAAAACAGAGAACTAGAAAGAGGATGATATATTTCTAATTATTTTTATACATAGAAGTGCAGCTGTCGAATCCTTTTCTTCTTTTTTTGACCTCAGTTCTGTATCTAGTCGGAATTGTAATGTTAGATTTATCAACTTAAACTACTTGTAGAAACCGCTGTCGAAAACTAAGAAATTTAAATAAGATTACGAAAACAAAATATTGCAAAATTAAAAGGTACTGTAAGCTAATGGACTTAATGAATGATGGTTCGTTTCACTTCGCTCTCTTAAGCTACGGTTTCCTATAAAGCGGTGCCGTTAACTAACGGCCGTAATGTAATTTTGGGTGACGTCACCTATACGTTGTCTATAAATAACATCGGAGTAGGTTTTCTGGAGAACTTTGAGTGTCACCGTAACGTCAAATAGCGGTGCTGTTATTTGCATGACGGCCGTCATAGCGGTGATAAACAGTTCAACGTTTTTCGCGTGTAGCGGTGCGCATATTTAATTAATACAATGACTTGGACGAGCGAAAACGATGAACAATTAATTGATTTTGTTAAAAATCATGAAGCTTTGTACAATATCAAATCTAAAGAGTACAGACAAGCTCAATTGAAGCAAAATTTGTGGAACGAAATTGGAATAACACTTCAAAAATACGGTCGCACTACTTTCTAGGAAACCACAGCTTGGCCACCGCAAAGACGGCCGTTAGTTAACGGCACCGCTTTTCTAGGAAACCGTAGCTTAAGCCTCATCTATATTTGACGTCGCTAGGTTTGCTTGGGACGGCAAAACTTTCCTTGCTATAGTTTAAACTAATTCTCGTACCAACTCGATATAATTCAAAGTCGTAAAGAGAAATGAACTAAGAAATCCATATATTTTTTTATTTCGAATGCGGTTCACGGTGACCGACTAGATATAGAACTCGTAAACTGAATTGCATCAAATTAAGTTCATTAAACAATAGAAGTTCTAGTAACGGAATTTGATATTCAAGAGATCGCCAGAGTGCGATTATAAAAATGAATGTAATGAATAATCAGGCTGGTTGACGTTATAAGAGGGATTTTGCCAATTGATTAATCTTTCAGAGTACTTGGTCATAAGTTTGTGACTAAGAGTTAAAAGAAAAAGAGTAAGAGAAAATAATAGCTTATATCGGTGCAATTCAGATTTACAATTCAAAATATTTTTAATACTGGCATAATAAACATTCCATTCCGGATATTGGAATTTTTCGATAGAAATTATAGATCGGAATGCATTTATTACAGCAAGGGTTTACTTTGGGAGATGAATATCCACTAAATCTAATAATCTTAAATATAGTTTTAAATAGACTCTTTCAAATCTTATAAAACATGCACTAAATATATCACCGTGTTTGTAAGGTCCATTTTGACAATGAAAAGATATTGTTACCATAGTAACAGACACGTTACTATGTTAAGCATGTTTTTAAACTAGACTGTCTATTGTCTCATAAAAGTAATGTCTGGTTTATTTTTGCAAAAAATTTTCCTTGAAAATGGTAATTTTTATAATGCATTCCGAAATCTTCCCTTCTTTTTAAATTGTGATATTTTTCGATTGAGCGAATACTTGAATCAGTATTTATAGTTTATATTTTTTTAGTTTAAAATGGTGGCTGGAATAAAACGCTGTAAAATATATTTGTGTTTCATTTAATATCTCACAAGTACCCATAAACAACGAGCATGCATGGTGAATGAGAATGGATGAAGCGAGAGAGGTATGTCAGGTAGCAAGTGGAGATCTGTGGTCTCTGCTTAACCCCTTCGGGGAAAAGTCGTAATTATTAAATTATTACAAACCCAGTTCAGTCTACGTGTCAATGATTAAATTTTATTTTCATCGGGTTCACCTGTTTGGGTCTAATACTAAATTGTTTTTGGTTAACGCGAATATTACAGATTAACAAACGACTTCAAACGTGCACTCGACGTAGATTTTGTACTGTTTAATGAAATTACCGCGTTAACCACTTTATTCCTTAAAGTTGAGAGTTAGGTAAGTGTAAGTTTGGATAAAGATCTTGGAAAAATTAAACAACTTAAAAATACGAGTTTCTATAGACTACTTCTTAAAACTAACAATGTAATATTTCATTCCAATTCGACCTTTCTGCTCTTCTTCATGTTCAACTCTGTTTTATGGTGGTCATCCAACATTTTGGACTGCTCATATCTGTTAGTTGCCAACTTTTTGATGTCCTCATACACAGTGGGGTAGCAGGCAACGTAACTTTCAAAATCCTCTCTGTCCAATCGAAACAGTTCACAATTCGTTACAGCCACAGCGGAGGCGGTTCGCAGTCTGTGACTCATTACTAGCGCGATTTCTCCAAAGAAATCGCCGTCTTCCAAATGACACACTTCCTTGCCTGACTCGCAATATATCGCTACAGTACCTTTGTGAATAAAGTATAGGCAATCTCCTGAAAAGTATAAGTTTTTTTTATGAAAACGGTTTGTCAAAGACAGTGTTTTGAAACATGAAAATTGGCCAGTTGAGTTCATGTTTGGTTAGGATTTTTGGACATTTTACTCCTAAATTAAAACCTTAGTTTCTATAGAAATCTCTTATTCTGAAAATAGGAAAAGTGACCGTCTAACTAGTATTTTTTTCATATAAGTAAATTTATCCGTAACAAATTCACACATCGAAATTGGCACACATAAGATCCATAAAAATACCACTAAATAATGTCGTTTTTACATAAGTATACGGAGTGAAAGCAGAGCAGTGTTGGCCTAGTGGTTTCAGCGTGCGACTCTCATCCCTAAGTTCGTAGGTCCAATCCCCGGCTGTGCACCAATGGACTTTATAAGTGCGTATTTAAACATTTGCTCGGACGGTGAAGTAAAACATCGTGAGAAAACCGATTTGCCTTAGACCCAAAAAGTCGTGTGTCAGGCACAGAAGGCTGTTAATCCATTATGTGATTTTGTGCTACACGTTTATTTATTCTAATTGACACGAATGGTAATATAAATTAAAGTATATCAAAAAAAAGTCATATGAAACTGACCTATAGTTTTGATTTTCATGATAATATCACCAGCAATAAACATAACAATTCTGAGTTTACTCCCAATTTGAAACAGCAGTGATCCAGGTAGCTGCTTCAGGAATGCCACATCTCGTACTAGTTGTCTCCCTGTGTGCATGATTATGTCTTCACGGAGTTGACCAGACACACAGGACATCATACGATATTCCTAAAAAACATAAGGAGGAATCAATATATAGATGTGACTAATTATTTCGTGATAACACTAACAATTTTATAGTCCCTAGTGTTTTGTCTCGTTTTGTCAAATTGAATTAACGCTGTGATGAAGAGAGATGATTGTAATTTGTTATATGGTGTAATTAAGCCGATTAAGTTTCAATGAATGGTTACTCTATTCAGAGCAGTATCGTAGTGGCTAGGCGAGTGATCCCCAAGTCGTACATCGATACTTTTACGTATGTATATTACGCACGTTTAAAACGGTGTATGTAATCTATTTTTATTTATGTAACAGGACAAAAGGCTCATCAGATGTTAATTGATACCGCCGACCGTGTAGGTACACTCACATTGCCAGAGGGCTCGCCAGTTGCCGGAATTTAAAGAATTGGTACGCTCTTTTCTGAAGGACCCTAAGTCGAATTGGTTCGGAAATATATCGGTAGGCAGCTGGACATAGTGGTGGTGCGCGGCAAAAACTGCCTCACTCACAGAAAACGATTTTACTATTAGTCTGTAGAGAAAAATGATAAAAAACATAAGAATATTATCGCCTCTGCTTTTTGTTCCACGTCCAATTTGAACGTTATTCTTAGAAAAAACGTATTACGTCTTGTTCGTGCTATCCACTCAAGATGTATCCACCCAAGAGGACCAGCGCCCGTACTCAAACTTGCACCAATAACGATACCGACGTTTTTGTATGCAGGTTCGACCTTGGGATCAGGCGGAATAACTCATCAGTATCGCTATTGTAACTTAGGGCTCTGATGTAAGGGATTGGAACCAAATTTCCTTAAAGAATGTCAATACAGTTTCAAAGTATCAATTTAAACTCAACTTACTGCGAAGAAATGTGACTGAAATCCAATCGCGTAAAACCTGAGGACTTTGTTTTTAATTCTCGTTGGAAATTTCTTCTGATCCAAGTACATTTCGACTTGTTTCGCCATCATGAAGTATTGAGCTCGGGCTGATTCCGTCCCAAATAATGTAATAAGATATTTAAATCCGCAATGTAATAGTAATACCTACAAAATGTTTTGTTTAGGCTGAAAACGACCGCTACAACGCTAATATTCATATAAACCTAACAATTTAATTCCATTTATGAAGAGTATTAGTAGATGGCGCCTTTTAATTATGAAGATAACTATCGCAGGTGTTACAGTTTAATTATCCAATTAATTAATTTCTGATCGCGCTTTACGCTTATGATATTAAATATTTATACCTTTTTTCTTATAATAAATAATTTTAACATAAGTTATATTCTTTACTGCTATGTAATTTTAATACAAAGCGACATAGGATTCCTCATATAAACCGCCGTCCATGGACTTGCAAGTGCGTTGCCGGCTTTTAGGCAGTAAAAGTAGGGACAGTAGGCTAGGTACTGGTAGTACGCTCTTCTCTTGAAGGTTACCAGCTTGTAACCAAGGGCGGATCCAGCTTTGGCGCCACGAGGGGGTCACGTTAGTCGTGTTCAAGTTAAGAACTTATAATTTAATTTTGATAACAATAGATACAAGTAAAAAGTAGGTATTTTATTAATGTACGTAAGTATTGCAATTAAAAATATTTATTCTTTATTGTACACTTGAAAAACTTAACACATAATATTGTGTAACTTAGTACATACAGATTGGTCCAACTAGTGACGTCAATAATTTTTTTTTAGATTCCTCACATCTGGGGGCATACGAAAATACGTGTGTTGTTTTTGAGTATGTTTCGCGATTTTTTGTAGTTTTCGAGTTATAATTTTTTTGTGTTTTTTGAATGTTTTCTGCCAGCGAGGTTTCAAAAATTCCTATCTTTTTTTGTTGTTTTTGGACAAATCCAGCTAAAAACTAAACTTCTAACTTTAAAACCTTTTTGAGTAGCTTTAACTAATTATAGGAAGCTGAGTTTTTTTATTTAAACAACATTTAAGACAATCATTTAACAGAAAAAAACTGCAAAATTCCTACAACAAAAAGATATGAATTTTTGAAACCTCGCTGGCAGAAAACATTCAAAAAACACAAAAAAATGTATAACTCGAAACTACGAAAAATCGCGGAACATACATGGGGTATTTTCGTATCCCCCAGGTGTGAGGAATCTAAAAAAATTTATTGACGTCACTAGTTGGACCAACCTGTATACACGTACATATTACCATCTTCTCTTGAAGACAACCAGAGAAACACTTTCACGTATTTTTTTTTTTGAAGTGAAATCTCGCTGTTGGCCTTTAGGGCCTTTACAGCTCAGCTCGGGCTGTTTTGGCGAGCTTAGCTCGGCCTAACTATCACGTACGGAATGAGGCAGCCTATTTATATTACATGACCGTGGTGAATGATTTGTCATAACAGCTAGAGGTATGTCGAGGGGTATTACGCTAAACTTCGCAAAAGTGAAGAGATGTTACGACAAGGGATTCCATCAAACAAAATAGAAACCGACAAAATACATATATTTTAATAACTAAATCAATTTTTCTTTAACGTGTTTTCCCGAAACGCGTTATTACGTCATTTACGTCAACGGGTACGTTTTCATGAACGTGGAGAAGTGCCAGTCCGGTTAGGCGATCTTCAACCATTGAAGATCTTAGCCACGATTTAATTCTGCGCAACGTAGAGAAAGACCTTTCTGCTGTCGCTTCGCTGACAGGGTAGTGTATCCAATTTTCCTATATTAGTATACATATTGATGTCACAATTTAAAATAAGACTATGTTATGATATGTTGAAGTTTAGTCGTTCCGATTCCGATTGAGGTAAGGTCTAGCTAGACGTTTCATTGCAACAAGCGCGCGCAAGTGTGGCGCGGAAAATTCAAATTTTCGATGCGTTCATTCCCAAACGTTTGCCATCATACAAAGTTATTATATTATATTAAATTAATTAAATATTGAAGGTATGTAGTTACATATAATCTGTATGGTGACAAATTTATATATAAAATCATTATGTTCAATTAGTGGTCCACCTAAGTCCTGCTCAGGGGGGGTCATGACCCCCCCCTGGATCCGCCGTTGCTTGTAACGGTTAGGAAATACCTGGATATGATAGGCTGCCGGTTCCATAACGTGTCAAAAATTGCGTTATTAGTTTCAGATACAAACAAATGTATAAATATTGTTTACTAATAAATACCTGAGAAATGAACCATGCAACAATGAGAAACGTTTTAACACATCCTTCTTTCTCAAGGATGTGTATATTTGCATTTCCCCTCAGCATACCAACTGTAAATTACATTTTCAATTCGATTTTAAATGTAAATATATCGGAAAATAAACTACTTTGGTTTGCGGATGATTGCATTTATCACATATAACTGAGGTGTTTAGGTGACGCGAAATCATACAAAGTTTAACAGCGCCTGGGTATGATTTTCTTATGTACGCGTATAGCAGTTGTGTATAAGTTTTATTTAAATTGTCCTTTTGTGTGCCATTATTTTAAACCAATATTCCTGTTTTTCGGGTGTTTCTCAATTTTTACATATAACAGGAGGCAAACGGGGAGGAGTGTCACCTGATGTTAAGTGATACCACCGCCCTTGGACAGTCACATTGCCAGAAGGCTCGCAGTGCGTTTCTGACCTTTTAAGAATTGGTACTCTCATTTCTGGAAGGACCCTAAGTCGAATTGGTCGGAAATACTTCAGTGGGCAGCTGGTTCCACATAGTGGTGGTGCGCGGCAAAAACTGCCTTTTATAACGGACGTCGAGGTAATACATGTGGAATATCGTACTTTGCCTCGACGTCCGATGATGAAACTCAGCTGCCACTATTAATCCGAACAACTCCTCTGAACACTCTCCATTGTAAATACGGTAGAAGATGCCGAGAGACCGCATCTCTACGCAACGCCAAGGGATCAAAACGCTCGGAAAGTGACATTCGAATCGCAATACTAAACAGGTACAGGTTACGGAAATGCACAAGTGCGCAGCACAATTAAGGGGATGCCATCTCTCTCTCTCTCTCTTTGTTTCCTATTTTTTGCAATTGCAATCTTAATTTCATATTGTATACATGACTCTTTTTCATAATACATAACAAACCTGCTCTATCCATTGAATATACGAATCTGGTTGTTAATTCTTTATTCCAGAGATTTCCCATCGTAATCCAAGAACAATCTTTGGGTTTTTCTGGGGTATAAGAGTCCTCGTACATATATTCAACAGCAAATTGCATAAACATATTCCAGATTAAATAAATTACAATAAGCAGGGTAATTTCTATCGCCGTGTTCCATGCTAGCTTTAAGAAAAATAATATTTTTATTATAATTTTTGCGTTTGTTGTTTGTCTGCATGTAAGTCGTGGCCGAATCGTAAAATCGCTTTACGAAATGTTTCGTTTGTCTGTATGTTTCTCTAATATAATGGAGAGACTAGGTCTGCGGATTCGAAGCAAGAATCTGACACAGAGGTGTTGGACATGCCACACACACCACATACATGTAATGATTAAGGTTATAATATGGAGACCTATTTGCTTGTACTGGCCGAGTTCAAAAGTGATTAGTGATGATGTAGGAAGATATTGTGGTGACTTGTTTAGATTTAGAAGCTGTCCAAGTGAATATGTAGTTCAATTACATTATTAATGTAAAAAACTTTGAAGTCAATACGTAGAAATTAAGGATGTACCTACTACCATGGCCTCGCTTATAAGGAAAATGTGAGAGTTGGATCTCAAAAATGAAACGAAGTCTTGCGAAGATGTTTTAACTGAAGCAGGCAACGTAAGTTCGAATTAAAATTAAAGTCTAGTCTGGGATATCTATACAAATATAAGGAAAGCATTGTATTTTAGTGTGTAATTAATAATAATCCAGTGGTGCTACAACCCTTAATCTTTGATCTTGATGTTTTACAATGGACTTTATGCATAAAGTCCATTGGTACACAGCGGAGAATCTAGGACCTCAAGGAGGAGAGTCACACGCTGAAGCTACTATGCTCTTAGTAAGTCATAAATAAAATAAGAAACTCTTGTACCGATATCAATTTAACTACATGTTTTTCTTTTTTTTTTAAGTTACAGGAGGCAAACGGGCAGGAGGCTTACCTTATGTTAAGTGATACTGCCGCCACTTACACTGCCAGAAGGCTCGCAAGCGCGCTGCCGGCCTTTTAAGAATTGGTATGCTCTTTTCTTGAAGGACCCTAAAACGATTTGGTTCGGAAATACTTCAGTGGGCAGCTGGGAAAAACTGATGAAACCCAACTACTACTATAATAAAACATAGGTTATATTTATATCCAAGATATTGTGAAATTTACTTCCGCTATTACTAAATAAATGATCATAGTACCTTTAGTTTAAAGGCATCACTCAAATTGTTCACATGATAAAAGAGTTTGAGGACCCGTATTATCTTCAACGATGTTAACAGTTGCTCGAAATAAACACTTTCATAGCCAAACGCTTTGAGAAAGACGTTTGAAACAGAGCTCATGTCTGGTATGAACCAAGAAGTGAAATATTTGGGAACAATACGTTTCACATCTAATATTACTTCAGGACAGGTATCTCCAACAATGTAGCCCGTAAAGAAGTTCGTCATTTTACATAATAGGTAAGTTATATCGAGACATAGTAAGCAGTATCCTTCTAGACCCTGAAAAAAGATATCTGTCAGTGTGTGTAGGTGCATAAATGTGTGTTTTACGATGAGCGAGCGAGACTACGGAACAGCCATTAAATACAGCTTCAGGGGCCTCATAGCCTAGCAGTCTTATTAAGTGGCAGCTAGGTGAGGGGTACCGGGTTCGATTCCCGGATCGAGGGCAAGTTTTAATTTAATTTACATTTGTTATCGGCCTTTGGGAGGGTTGTGCGGTACCGGGCGAGTGCTTAAACCGCATGGAGGACACGGTTGAATTTCTAAAGGCAAGCACGAATTATAAAAAAATCTTATACTTGACGCTGGCTAATGCACAAACCGTACCAGAGCCATAAAAAAAATACAGCTACCGCAGCCTATGGATACTCATATTCCTAGGGGATACGCTGCCGGCTTTTGTTGGTTGAAATAACGTAACCAATATGACATATTTCTTTATATGATAAGAGGGAAGTCTACGCCGTACAAGACAGCCATACAAGGCAGGTACCGCAGATCATGGATAGGAGGAGTGTCCATGTGTAGGAGCTTTTACGGTCTTTCAGGAGGTATGCTCTTTTTAAATAGTGGGAAATCAAACGATCGAAAGATCTCCACTAGGAGTCGATTCTACAGCTTGCTATTCGCAAGAAATGCCTAGAAAAGTAGACTGGAGGATTGCCAGTCATCGAGGTGGTGCGCTACTTTTGTGGAGGGCGAAGGGAGGGCCGTGAAAATATTTTTGTTTCGTCGGAAATCAGTATCCGGAATGTGTTCTCAATTGCATTTAGTGCAATTTAGTATTATTAATGTCACTTTGTAATATATTACATATTGAAGTAGTTCCTAAATTGGCTTTTATTTAATAAGCATATATAAAAAAACAGTGGCGCTACAACCTTTTTAGGTCTGGGCCTCAGATTTCATGATCATTTGTTAATCTTATAGGCAAGTAGGTGATCAGCCTCCTGTGCCTGACACGCCGTCAAAGTTTTCGGTCTAAGACAAGCCGGTTTCCTCACGATGTTTTCCTTCACCGTTAGAGTGAATGTTAAATAAAGTCCATTGGTGCACAGCCGGGGATAGAAACTATGACCTCAGGGATGAGGGCCAACACTGCTCACTGTAATAACTATATAACAATAGCTTACTTCAAATTAACTAATACTAACATATTCACGTGGATCAGGTCGAGAGAAATGGACAGTGAGTAGTATATCGGATATCATAATCAAAGACACAATAAAAGCCTCCATATATAATCTGAATTTACTAAACGGATGAATGGTCCAGGGATATTCTTTAAATTGAAGATATTTTACAGCACAAAGTGCAGAATATGACCTGCAAATCGAAAAATTTCATCTTAATATATATAAATTACGCGTCACGTTGTTTGTCCGCTATGGACTCCTAAACTACTTACCAGATATTAATGAAATTTGCACACCGTGTGCAGTTTGATCTAACTTAAAAGATAGGATAGCTTACACATACAGTGTAAACTCTTTATAACGAATTAATGTATGTGTATTAGGTTACCTTGTAAAGAGTTGACACCGTATATATATATATATATATATATATATATATATATAATTCTGCTGAACGTGTGTATGTCACTGAACCCCTCTTTAACGGCTGGACCGATTTGAATTTTTGATGCGTTTGGGTGGAGCCATGGATGGTTTAGATTCACAAATAAGCCCGACAGATGGCGCTGCGGTCGGTACTTTTATACTTTGTTTGATATCCTAATCACTTGAAATATCACGCAGGACAACGTCTGTGGGGTCCGCTAGTATATATATATATATATATATAAAATGTAACTTAACTAATGATAGGTTACATAACTGTATAGATAAATATTTTACACGAATATATTAATAAATAGTTAAATTGTATTTCTTAAAAACGATGGCATTATTAAATTTGCCATATATAAAATCAATATAATGTAAATTAAAATCGTTATACATCAGCTCCGATATCGCTACGAAAGAGCTTTAAATATAGTATATAAAAACGGCATTACAAAGAACATCGTAAACGACAGATTACTTCCTAGTGGAAATAACTTGGTTATTTTAATGTAAATATGTTTGAAAAGCTTCTTCTCGCATAGATTTGCATAAGAATTTTTCGATCTCTTCAACAATAATACTAAATAGCGTTATATTTTAGTCAATGCCTCAGGAAACTACTATCTATTGGTGAAAACCGTTCCGTATTTTGCGAGTATGTCGCGTACATACAGACGCAGCCAGGGAACTTGATTTTAAATAAATGTATTGGATTTATTTATATCTAACGTTATCATAAACAGAAATCTTACTTGTACATCCGTCGAGACCTAGTATCGCTTATGTTTACAGTCATAAGATCCACTAAAACCCGTTTAAAACGACCACATATTATTTCATGGCTGGTGACTTTGTCTTTCGGTAAACAGCAGTTGTGTCCATGGAAGTAGCCGTAGGAGTTCTCTGGCTTTTCATTTGCCTTCTCCAAAGGGGTCGCTGCGGAAAGTCTTGGAGTCCACATCTTTATTAACAATTTTTAAACATACAACTAACCTATTGACAGAAAGATGACAGAAAAAATATAGATAATGTTTCGTGGAAATCGTGTAAAATAGAATAATTTCATTATGTTACAAGAAAGTGTTACACAAGAAGGGGGAAGAAGGAGAAGGGGGCGCCCCAGAAAAAGGCAAATAGAAGAAGAAGAAGCGATAACAGGAAGCGAATGGAGAAAGAAAGTCATAGACTGAGTCAGTTGGAAAAAGCTGAAGGAGGACTTTACCTATGAAGGGGTTCCGATCGACGTCACTGAAGGTAGCTATATCCTATAGGAGAACAAGTTAAAAATAATGTAAAAAATCTAATCTGTATATTTTAATTATTTTGTCATGATTGGAAATTAAATTATTATTACAAGAATGTGTTTACGAAGTTTTGAAATTTCTCAAAATATATTTTATTTTTCATACTCCATACCGTAACAGAATATAAAATTGTATTTGTGAAAAAAATAAGACTATTGAGTTATTATTTCTTTCTAATGCTGTTCTGTATGAGTTATGGAGATCTACCTCAATAGGTTATGGGTTACAACTATTTACCCATTATAAAAATCTTTAAATTAACAATGATCTGAACATGAATTTGAGTAGTTCTGGGTAGTTTCTTTCACTATTAAATGGAAAGGTAATGTAATAATATTTTTTTTATTAACGATAAATAAAAGTGTATCAATCAAATAGTTTAATTTTCATTGAATAATTCCCATTCTAAAACATTTTTCTCTGCCTTCCATAAATCAGCACATCTCTTCGAACAAAACACAGCACTTAATGTAATGTCTTCCGTTTTATCAATTAATATTATTTTTCTGAAAAAAAAAGCAACAAAAACGAAGGTTAGAAGATTATAAATCGGTTTCTATTAATGATAATTAAAATGCAAAGAAGTTTATCGAAAAGTAACTTACTGCGTACAAAATTCCAAGAAAACAAATTCAAATACAGGTTTTTTACAAATGACATTTTCACATCTGGAAACTGGTCCATTGCAGAGGTCGCTTTTTATAAAATTTGGTAAATAGCAATAATATTCCTCAATAAGATCCGATGGCACATATATTCTTTGAGCCCCAACGTTTCCTTTTAACCTCGTTTTGTAATTTCCATTAATATCGCTTTGTGAAATATTAATTCCCTCTAAATATTCTTCTAGAAAACTCACACCTTCATTTGTTTTATTTCTATTAAAATAACTCAAGGATTGATTGTTGATTGAGTTAACTGCTCTACATATTAGTTGGTAGAACTTTCTCTTGCTTAGTTCAAATAGACTTGGTGGAGCGGGGCTTTTCGTAATAATCTGATAGGAGCCGGGAACAGGAATAACTGCTGCTTTGTTTTTTAATATCTTAATACGACCGGTCGTCTTGTCGTCATTTGTATCTAGACAGCTGTAAAAATATGTTATTTAATTAATATAAATATGTTATATAACATAATATTTAGTGACGAGCGTGACGTACTGACCCGAGCTGTAACGCAAGTTCAGCTCTGTACATCAAGAGACAAACAACAACGTATATGACGAGAGAATGTTAAGGTATTTGCTAATAAATGGACTACCCAGTCGGTTATCAGATAGCCTAACGTTAACCAACATAAAAGTAAGTCGAAAAACTATATAGCATTTTTTACGTTCCTAAACAAAACTGCTATGGTTACATTTATAAAAACCACAGCGGTTTTCTAATTAACATATTATGATTTTATTAAATTATTCTGTAAAATAAATAAATAAGAATAATAAAAAGAAAACTAAAAACAAGTATTGTATTGTAGTATTGGCAGCAGTGTTGGCCTAGTGGCTTCAGCGTGCGACACTCATACCTGAGGTCGTAGGTTCGATCCCCGGCTGTGCACCAATAGACTTTCTTTATATGTGCGCATTTAACATTCGCTCGAACGGTGAAGGAAAACATCGTGAGGAAACCGGCTAGTCTTAGACCCAAAAAGTCGACGGCGTGTGTCAGGCGCAGGAGGCGGCTGATCTCCTACTTGCCTATTAGATTTTAAAATGATCATGAAACAGATTCAGAAATCTGAGGCCAAGACCTAAAGAGGTTGTAGCGCCACTAGACCAGTGCCGATAATTTTTGAAACCAAAAAAAATTACAGTAGGATGAAACCCATTAGAAAAGCTATGAATCTTCTTTAAATTATAATTGGATGCCTATTTATTACTATTTTAAGATAACTTATATATACCTGAGTGACCTAAAAAAAATTTTTAGCCTTTAGATGGGCTAAAATTTTCGTATTTCATAAAGAAGTAGGGAAGGGTATGACGGGTCTGGGCGTTACTGCATACGATGTTTTGCATTTTCTGAGAAGATTTACTATGGTAATATATATATATTTACCATAGGAAAGTAGAGATTTCAACGAACTGAAAGCACACCAACTTTTTGAAAAAAGCTGAAATTTTGACCTCAGAATTTTCGATTGAAAATTAGGGTGTTTTTTCGATATTAATTCAAAATAAGGTGAAAAAATAAATATTTTTAATCAAATAAATTACAGTATATTTGTGACATAATAAGGTAAGTTTTCACCAAATTTCGTTAAAAAAAAAAGAAATTTGTAACAGATAAAAATTAAAAACAAAAAACTTGGTTTTTTGAATTTTTCACATAAATTTTAAGGTTATGTGAAAAATGTGTGAATACAAAAGTTTTAGATCTTTTTATTACCTACAACTTTGCCATTTAACTTTCTTTGATAGGACTTTTAGTTTTGCCGGAAATCGAGATAAACCGTTTTTTACCCTTAAAACTCCCCCCCACCCCTTCCCGACCTCAGATCGACCGTAATTTAATTTTCCTTTCATTTTGATCATATTCCCCTGCTTTTCTAATGGGTTTCATCCTACTGTAATTTTTTTCACTTTTTATTTATTTTGAATGCTATCTGCACTGGTCTACACTGGTTTTTAAAATAATACATACATGAACAAAACATCTCTACACAAATGCGCTCATGAAAAAAATTTAACCGACTTTAAAATGCACTAAAATCTATTTATTAAACCGGCTTAATCGGCTTATAAGCGACTAATCACGACGGCAGGGCGGACTTTGAATTTTTATAGCATTTCAGTTAATATCATAAAAACTATCAATCTAAGAATAAAATCCTCCCGGCAAATGGAAAAATATGACAACTCAAATATATACAATGGATAATGGAATATACAATGGATTTATTATAGAACATTGAAAAAATGTCGATTTTTTTTAACTTCATACAGAATACATTACCCAATATTCAGACTTCTTGTTTGTTGTTCCCTGAACATGTGGTACCAAAGAGAATACGGTAATGTTTTCAGGTCAGTATTTCTCCAGAACCTAAATTCGCAATGATGGTAGTTGAAAACCGGTCTTTGTGGGAGCCACTTTAATTTGTTATCTGTAATTAAAATATATTAATAAATTTTTCCTATATAACCTTTAGAATTTCGTTAATCGTGTTCAATTGATATAATTAGATTAAGTCCGGTTTTTAATGTATTATTTAAATATCGTCTATTTTAAGATTTCTTGTATTGGTCGCTAATTTGATTATCCATACATGTATATAAAGTTTTCTTATATTTTAAACTCCATTGTACCTTTAGCTTTCCAAGTTAAATAAATAAACATACCATTTCTACATCTTATATACAAGTATAAACAGTATAGGTAGTAAGAATATTGTAAATACTGTATTTGTGTGTTGAAAATAAATCTATATAGTATTGTCTTTGATTGACATAACCTTTACACATTTAAAGAAAAAACTTTTTAACCGCATTAAAGTTATGTATTATTATAAATTTACAATTATTTAACATAATTTTAAATATATCCGACGTTTCGCGTGCTTTACAGCGTGCGTGGTCACGGTGTCACCGTATATATTTAAAATTATGTTAAATAATTGTAAATTTATAATAATACATAACTTTAATCCGATTAAAAAGTTTTTTCTTTAAATAAATCTATAATTAAAAGAATTAGTGATTTCCAACAGAATGCAAAGGCATTTTGCTTATCCAGCAAAAGCCCAGAACAATAGCAAATTTCGTTATATCTGCGTAACTTACGTAAATGGGGCGAATCAATGAGGAAACATTAAATAAGATTTATGCCCAGTTTGTTAGCTCCAGTAAACATCGCAACTGTCTAACGTTTTACGAGCACTAAAAACATTTCAATGTGGTTTTTCAAGGAGATTTTATGAATTTTGCATTTTACTGCTTTCGGAACACAATTCTTTTATTTATCTTTTTTTAAATTTTCATCTATCACGAGATAATTTAAACTAAAATACATTGAATTTAACAACTTTATCTTATTCTAATCAGATAAAGTATAAGAGCATGTTTTTACGGAATAATTTCTGGTGTTGCTTTTTGAAATTGTATCTATTTAAATATTTTACTAAACTGATTATTTACCCTTCTTTCAGATAGGTAAAAGCTTGCCATAAAATAGAGTTTATTTTTGGACAGTTTAAAAGCTTTTTCGTAAGCATTCATTGTATTTCAAACACACGAAGAAACTATTATACATTAAGAATCTATAATTCATATCTACTGATGAATCTGAAATAAACATTGTAATTACTGTAAAAAAAATATTAGACAAGAAGAAAGAAAATATTACAAAATATGTACCGAATATGTTTTTCTTAACACTCAGTATTCCTTCACTAATTATTAGGTAAGTGATGTTTAATTGGAAGTGTTTTAATAACATAGGTACCGCGATGCGCCTTCAAGAAATGAGCCTAACACATCTTTAAAGACCGCACTTGCATTGAGCTCTTAATTTTATTTATAACAAAACATTAAATACTTATAATAAACGTTTACCACAAACCGAAAGATATCGAAGCGAGCGCAACTCAGCCAGCCGCAGAGGTATATGCTCCAACTCGTTTTCGTCTAATATCAGAAATTTAAGATTCCTCGCCTCAGCTATCTCATCTGGGATAAATCTTAATCGATTCCCGCTAATATCCAGGCACTTAAGGCTACATAACTTCGATATCTCCCGCGGTAACTCGGTAATATCGTTACCGCTCAAGTACAAGCTTTCTAGGTTGCTGAGTTTGCAAATATCGCTGGGAATGCGCGAAATCAGATTCTCCTTAAGATATATATCGATGACGTCCGTTTCATCTCCTTGCAGTTTCTGAAGTGGGAATTCTGTGAAGCCCCTGTAGTTCCAATGTAGGACGGTTGGTACTTGGGCACTCATTGTGGTTGAATGCATCACATCACTTTGGGGTAGATCTGTTCCCGCACGAGTTGCGTTTGTTCCCGATCGTACGAGACTGCGATATGTGAGGTAATCAAGAATTATTTTTAAATCTATGGCAAGGCCTTTTCAAATTTAGAATTAGCTGTCATATTGTTCAGTGCTTTCACTGGTAATTTGCATCTATAAAGTTTTGGATATAATTTATAATTAATAAAGTATCAATAAGAATAAGTTTCTTGTTATGTAACATAATATGTTGCGCGTTTGCTGTAAAAATTATTTCGTTTGGTAAGTAGTATGTTTGTGTTTCATATTTTTAATTTAAAAAACAGAGTTTTATCTAAATTATAAACGAAGTTGCGGGCGATTTTTATAATATGATTTCACGTCGGCCTTTACCTTAGTTATCATAAGTACTTATATTTATTGATAAGTTTAAAACTTATTGTTATAAAAAAGGGGACAAACAGGCACGAGGCTCATCTGATGTTAAGTTAATTACGATAATTGCCACAAGGCTCGCAGGTGTGTTTCTGGCCTTGTAAAAATTGGCCTATCTTGAAAGACCCTTGGTCGAATTCGAAAATACATTGGTGGGCAGCTGGTTCCAGATAGAGGTGTGCGGCAAAAACTGATTTAAAAAACGCTCAGTAGTGGAACAACGGACGTCGATACGGGGAATAATAATTATTTATTTAATTAGTAAATAATCGTTTACTGTATGGAAAACGAATCCAATAAAATAGTAACGTATTGAAGACAAGAATTTGGCGCGAGTCCAAGCGGGACAGGTCGAGGACATTTCGCCACCATTCGTAAACAATGAAAATCTGTGCATCTTTGTTGTTTATTCTCACACTGATTTAAACAGGTGAAGAGTAAAATGTATAAAGTTGGTATTGGCCTGACGACATCGTAAAGGTTTCTGGGGAGATATAGATGGAGTAAGAAAAGAACAGATCCAAATGAGAAGTTCTGGAGGAGACCTGTACCCAAAAGGACTCACGAAGTAGAAATACCAATAACTAACGTAGACTAAGTGTATAGAGGACAAATCTTTATTTTTAATTAATTAATTTATTTTATTATTATTTATTACTTAAGATGTCATGTGGAACATGGTGTAATGGTTGCAGCTCCTTACAAACGTTGTGTAAAACAAAAAACTTGGCGATTAAAAAGAGTGGCGGAGTTTATTGCCATTTCTTCTCTTCCGTTCTACGCTGTTGCTTGAGTTCTGGCAGTAAATGTAAAATTAGAAGCATTTAATGTATATTTCTTTTTTGACGTTCATAAGTGTACATTGTGTAACCTATATGAATAAATTATTTTTGACTTTGACTTTGATTAAATAAAAGTGGCTTTATTATTATTTTATTGGCCGCAGATTTCTGTTTTCTTTATCATTCTTCTTAATTAAGTGCGTGTTTGTGTCTAAGACAATCCGCGGACATTTCAGTCTAAGGTTTCCGATGACGATGTATTAAAAACATGTGTTATAGATACAGAGAGCTTGAAGATCTTGATCTTGATTTGGCACTGAAAAGCAGACACCTATTCCATATAGATCACCAAACGGTTGCATGACTTTATTTCAGATGTTAGTGTTTCTGGAATATAATATTTGTCAAAAATAAATTTTAAAAAGAAATAGTTGAAGAAAATAGTTTTATTATTAAATTCAGAAAATTTTAATACATTTACGAGTAACCCTGTTATAAGGAAATTATTTTTAATATTTTAATAATATAAGTTTTAACAATAATTTAATTAAGTTAAGCTTACTTTAAAACGACTTTTTAATTTATGTATCACATCAGACCAATAGAAAACTAGATAGAATTACATTAAGTATGTATACAAAAAAGGATTGGCAACACCGGGGTGCAACTTATTTTATTTCTAACCGAAATTAAAGGTAGCTAGTATAATTATACGGTTTTAGACACTTTACAATGACGGCTGATAATAAACTTTAGCTTCCACGCTAAACTAAATATAACCAAAACTAATTTTAATTTATATAATACAAACAAAAAGTTATTAAATCTTTTTTCTGTCATATATCAATCTTTTACCTCTTTCCAAAGATAAGGCCTCACCAACCATGTTTTCATTCAATAGCACGTTTAGTTCATTATTAGTAGATAGTGTTTTAACTAGAATACAGAATTTTATCTAACAATATATTAGCGGAACAATACTTTTAATATTCAACACGTATTTTGATCTAAAATAGTATAGCATAATAGATCAGATGAGTTATTTACAATAGGTATAATGTATTAGTCGCCTAGATTTGAACCAAGAATTTCAGTAGCTTCCCTTAACTTAAACATATTTTGATGTATTTATTGAGAAAGCCCTATATCCTACGACCGAATTCACATTAAAAGATAATCTGTTTGAAATAAAATTTTATCAGTTTTGTTATAATTTCTAACTGACTTTAGTTTCGTAAGTCAGAGCGCGATCTTAACATAGACCCCTTTATTCATAAAAACTTAAACAAATTTCACTCTTTTAACTAAAGTGCTTTTTCCGTCGTGTTGCTTACGCCTTGATGAGACAGAAGGGTATTTTAATCGGGGCAAAGAATGGCTTACATTTTATAAGTAAGAGACTGACGATTCTCTAGCTTAGCTTAAAATTATTTTCTTAAACAAATTTATAAACGTGGGACACCGACTAAATCTGAAATATGTTCATAAATAATAATACAATTGTTAGTATCGGCGAATAATTCTGACTCTTCGACACTTTCCGTCGCCTTCATCGTCGCTGTCAAATGATGACTGTCGATTGGGGTGCATCAGCGCGTGGACTTCGGGGTTCAAGGGAAGAACTGGGAAGGATGAACGACGTACCATTGGAATTGGCCGCGCTCCTAAAAACAAAGGAAGTTGTAACAAATTTTATACGACATAAATCGTATTTGATTTGACAAACAATTTTAGTCTTGATACAATTTATCGGTTTAAAAGAGGATTTATCAAGATTTTAAGTAAGTATTGAGATAATTAAAGGAATTTTGAATTTTAGAATATCATTTAAAATGTGCAATAACTGATAGTCGATTTTATCTCTTTCTATTTAAAAAAGAATATTATAATTTACTGTGGCTGGACATATCAATCCCTAAAATAAGTATCTAATTAATATGTATTTTATCCCTTAAAAGTAAGGTCATACTAAAACATGAATACAACAAAAATATTATGCAGTAACAGAACTGTGATGCGTGCATAAAAACATTTGCAGGTGTAAAGGCAAAAACATGTATGGAATCTTACCTTAATACGTAATTCAGTCGTCAGACAGACCTTGTAAAAAAACAATAAGAAGAGGAAAGTTTATACGTTTACATACATAAACATTCGAATGATTATACTAAATTTACTTGCGATTTGCGTTCCCAGACTTAATTTAGTATAATCCAGCACGACACAGATTTATAAACAGTATATTTAAAATTTATAAAATCAAAAACTAAAGCGTAAACAACATTCGAGTTTTTACTTACCAATGAGTCTAGCGATAGATTGACGTTTTAATAGTTTAGGTTCATTTGTATCACCAATTGATGCCGGGGCAGTTTCTGATTTAGTCTTCTTGTCACTTAGATAAGAATTTATCGAATCTCCTCTTAAGTATGGTCTTGTTTTGCGAGTTTGATTTTCTTCTGTTTTCGTTTCTGTTTCAGAAATTTGAAACAATTGAAAACCGAATCTACTAGACTCACGTCTTAATGGCTTTTTATTGGCAAACTCTGCGAGGGACTGCCGTCTACCTTCTGTGTTTTCTTTCTCTTTCATCTCAGATTTTTCTCTAAATGCATCCATAGCTGCGTTCAAAACAAGTATCACAAGAAACACGGTTATACCGATTGTTGATATACCATTATCGTAGTCCATTTTGTTTTTATGTGGTTTCCTGTGTATATCCGGTTTGGTGAAGATGTCCAAAACGCTGCATGCGTCTTTCATGAACAATGGAATTGTATTGTGCCTTGGGATTTTCACTGAAAAACTTCGTTTTATTTTCGGCTGTTTATCGACCGGCTCGATCTTTGTTTCTTCAACATGATTGTTCATAGCCGTAAACCACATGTTAACATTGTAGAAGCAGTAAATAATAAGAAAGAAAATACAAAACAATATCTTATGCTCACTCATGTTTACATTGTGTTCTGTTTGTTTTGGTTTTCACTTTCCATTAGAATTCACGAATGGTTATATCAATACTAATTATTTCAGTTTTGCTTAGCTGTTTGATATTTGTAATTTTCTTTAATGAAACACGTCTGTCGTTTGTTTTGTATGGAAAAAAGCTACTACTGCGCATGTGCAAACAGGGGAAGAGCTTTATGCAATATTAATGATTGGGCGTAGGTACTACTTTTGTGATATAGATCGCGGCAAAATTGGGCGAATGCTAACCCACGTATAAAATTAATTAATTTTTCAACACTTTATCTATTATAAACTTAGCCACAAAAGTTAGTAGTAGATATCTAAATTACTATCTGTAACCATCAATTCCATATTAACACAATATATTACATTTTTGACTCAATAACAATACAAGTGTAGATGACAAATACATTTTAGAAAGTGAATTATTTATCAATACTTATCTCTGTTTGTTTAGTTATCGTCCACTTCTAACTGTGGACTTTAGTTATTTTTAATCAATATGCAGGACATGTTTGGCTGATGATTAATAAAAAAAGGCGAGAAAATATGAATGCATCACAGAAACAATTTACCATTTATATGAAATGATAAATATTCGCCTTTTAAAAACTTAGAAGAGTATAACTTAATTTATGTATTAATAAATAATATAACACCTTTGAAATCAATCAATATCCAAAGAAATATACACAATATATATAATAATTTGTTCTTAAGGAAAAAAAAGGAAGTACTGCTCAACATTTTTACCATTCAACTTTCAAGAAGTTAAAAGTGCCATAAATTCTTTTTATGGTTACAGTGTGTCGACAGCATGACTACGGGATGAAAATATATAATTGAATACGTAAATAAAATGTATGATGTACCTACATTTATTGCTGAACTAACACTCCGTGAATCGTATATTTCACGTCACACACACACACGCACACACACACACGTCACACACACACTTCACACACACACGTCACACACACACATGACGTTACATTGTGAAATTTATCTCAACATTATTTGTAATGCTTCTTTCAAGTTCTGGTAAGTCTTTAGAGGTAACCTGTTCCTTCTCAACCTCCATACAGTACTTTTACTAAGTAGTAATTGAAATCATACACAGTGCACACTTGTCTACCTAAAAAATTAAATCAAATTTTGTATTTATTATTCCACTGCTAAATATGTCATTATTAAACTACTACACTACATAAAATATGAAGCTCCTAGTAATTTTGCATTAGCAAACACACTCAAAGTATTATAAAAGGAGTTATATTTCGGAGTTGTGGCCTGATGTTACAGACGATCAGTTGTATGACCAACTATATCTAAACTAATAATTTTGTTTAAATTTACTATACTTAAATCAACATGTATTTTTATTAAAATAGCGAGTTCACTTCATTGGGATCTCTAAACTCAAACTCAAAATTATTTTATTCATAAAGAAGATAATAAGAGTGAGGGAATAGAGTTATTATATTTGCCGTTTTATTATTTAATTACTGACTATAGCACCAATTTTCGTTGGTGTGTTCTTGGCCTTTGAGGAAGAAGTAAGCTGTCAATTAAAATAATTGGAATCTCTTATGTAAGGTGGATAAGGTCCTATAAATGAAGGTCCCATTAGGAGATTCCACAGCTCGATAGTTGGAATATATCGTCAAACGCTGGTTATATATTGAACCGGCTTGAACATATTATATGATATAATTATATTCACATATGTGGCGATACAGCTGAAGAGACAGTGTTGCATGTTCTGAACGACTGTCCAATGTACGGATACGACAGGTATAAATATAAGCTATGGGCATAAAAGTAACAGAGACGAATTAAAAGGAAAGAATGTTCAATATTAGGTTAAGAGGCATCTTTTTAGGATTTGCTATAAGGGTCATACAAAAAGTTGTCAAAAGAAATAGGTAGTAGGGTTACCAATACCATTTACGTAAGCTATTTAATACCTCCGAAGACTATATAGGCGGGGAATTATGTAGAAAACATAAAAAAAAAATATATTCACATATACAAAGGAATTTTGTTTTCCCAGTTAGCGAACAACTACTGTTAAACACTACTGGTAAATAGACTGCTATTTCAAATAATTCGCCATATTCAAGTTATAGAAATGACAAATATTTCATACTGATTTTATCACTTTGGCCGGAAATAGGCTTCAATAGCCAATCATAAATCTTCAAATTGAAAGGGATTTTTCCCAATTTGAATTTGAATGCTAACTTAATGAACGAATTGATATCACTCAATTTATACCTTATTGAATCAGCAACATTTTGATGTCTCATGATTTCTTTCTTATGTATTCATTCAAAAATTGCGCATTAAATTAGTGTTATATTCTTTCAACTATTGACTGTGACATTGGTAAGTTGGTGAGCATGTGAATATGCAGCTTGGGTTCACTCGTGTGGAATTTATAGTAATGTATAACAATTTTCTTAACCAGAAACAATGCAATGTTAGCCCTAAGTGAGCTGTGTTTTATTTTTCCTATTACTTTAGCGTCAGTTGAGGTTTTTTTTTATATTAACTTAGGCAAGAGCTGTAAACCAGTGCCTCATCACAGTTATTTGGTGGTGATGGAACTCTTCAAGGCAGCAAAGCTTTAGTGTTTATATATCCGACTAATATTATAAACGCGAAAGTTTGTAAGTATGGATGGATATAATAAAACAATTTTTAACCGGATTGAAGTTATGTATTTACAATTATTTTTCATAATTTTAAATTTAACCGAAGTTTCGCGTGCTTTACAGCGTGCGTGGTCACGGTGACGGTACAGTATGGATGGATGTTTGTTACTCTTTCACGTAAAAACTACTAAATGGACTACAATGAAACTTTACCATAATATAGCTAATACATCAGAATAACACATAAGCCACAATTTATAAAGATATTGTGTGAATTGTCCAAAATATCAAGTAAGTAGGAAAAAATCTACCATCTGCGAGCTATTCTGGCGTGCGCTGCCAAAACCGCTAGATTTGCACATATATAATATATGATGGATATCTTAAATACTCAATATCTTTAGTAGTTTTTTTCTAAGCCAAGCTATATTATTATTATATATTTTTACTAAAAGGCAACCAATTAGTTCTTATGTTTTGTACATGCTCAATTTAATCTTGAATACGTTTCTAATATTAAAATTGTTTCGTAACCTGAATAGTAGTATTTTAATAGATTAAATATAAACGAATCAACGAATAGGGACGACAAGAAAGTTTAAGCAGACTGTTAAAATAAAGTCGCATATCTCCGACACATTTTGCGTCATCATCGATACGACTTGTTACAGCTTATGATGATGGGCAAAATTCAGGGCAAGAGCTGGTAGAAGGGAGAAGTCGTGGTAGTGGAACGAATTGGAGTGGACCGGCATCACATCCGCCGAGGCTTTTTAGACTAGCGCAAGATACCCGGCAATTCTAAATGTTAACAGCCAATTTTTTGCAATAAAGTGGAACCAGAAGAAGAAGAACAAATAATTTAGTCTTATAAGTATAAGTGTATAAATATGTTTGGTTGGAATTATGCGTCGGGTAAACATAGAAATATGATTTTCAAGACATTATCATAGATTAGCGAACAAGCAATTTTTATAGCCATTTTAATGCTTATTAAGTAGTATGCCGTACCACTATTAAAATACTTGCTTAAAAAGCTCACATAAGATTTAACAAAAGAGTTTCATATCGAAAGAAAAATATCCAATTCCGAGCACTCCAATTAAGTTCGGACGCACTTTTCTTATTTTAAACGTAGAGTTATGACAAGTTTAAAGAAAGACTAAAGTAACTGCTATCAAAAGAACAAAAGACGTAACACCAGCACCGGATCATTCATATTCTTATTCCAGACAAGATCCATTAAATTTCTTTTGTATTCATGAATATTATTTTACGCACGAGAAAAATTTATGAACACATTTTAACTGTTATATTAAAGGTATAATTCAAAGAGATTATATTAAAGACAATATAATGTTGCATATTATATTTCAACAACGTCTTTGCAAACGTACGTTTTCTTTAAGGCGAAGTCAACAATAAGACAGCATTTGCGTTATGATAATGGGCTATTCATTTTCCTCAGTTAAAAATATTAAGTAGTGTTGGCTTGGCTTGACTACTCTGAGGTCGCGCGTTTGAATTACAACTGTGCACAAATGAATTGTTCTACTATGTGTGAAGTAAAATATCGTGAGGTAATTGGCATGCCATGTCAAAACTTCACTAAATTAGAATTACAAGTATTTCAGCTTTATAGTTTATTAGGGGTTAGATAAAATTCTGTTTTTACTTAGGAAGCTCAGCTCAGAAAAGTTCATGAAAGTCAAGGACAAAGGTATTCAAGGCACTAACCTAGAACTGAAATTTTCGTCGATCGCGGAAGGCTTTGAGGTTAAGTTCTTAATGGCTCTCAAGGAAAAGGAAAAAGATTCCAGAAGTTTAAAGTTAAAAACTATGAGTATACATACAACACATATATATACTCAAACTCAAAATAACTTTATTCACATAGGTAAACCAGTACACTTATGAACGCCAGTAAAGACGTAAAATTAATTGTGAATTTACATTAACTACCTGTTCGTCAGTAAAGGGCTAGAGCGGGCATTAAGAACTGGCAAGAAACTTTCCGCCCCTCTTTTTAATCGCTAAGTTTTGAGTCATACAAATTGTTTGAACTGGAGCAAATCAATCCCAAAGATTAGGATCATTTATATGTTCGTTTTTATAAAAGCTTTATTGATTAACTTACGTGTAACGAGGGCTTTGAATTTATTTAGTGATAATTCTTTAATTTATTTATTTATTATATTTATATTAATCTATAAAGATTATATTGTGACTAACAAAATACGAAACCTGGTATCAGTTTGGTATTTGATAGTTATGTAAATTTTGTTTATAAGTATAACTCGATGTATAAAGTTGTTAATTTTG